ACCTTCACTGTTTCACACAACGGCCTCTTTGGGCCTCCAATGCAGGGACACTCCTGCCACATGCCTGGCCTCAGTGGTTTTCTTTTGTCATTTCTTTTGTCTTCTATTCTTGACTTTAAAGCTGGAACCATGTGGTCTAGCTGCCAAGTACTGCTGCTTGCTGGGTCTGGAACATGGACTCCTTATTCAATGACATCTTTATCAGCTTTCTGTTTTCCATGGTTTCCTTCACTGCCCAACCTTGGCTGTTCTAGAACTTGCTCTATAGACCAGGCTGACCTTGAACTCAGAGATCTGCATGCCTCTGTCTCCTGAGTGCTGGGACTAAATGCATGTACTACCACAAGTGGACCTAAACTGTTCTCTTCACAAGATAGAATCTTAGCTGGGTGGGGTCTTCCCCTGAGGTCCCGGATCCCTTATTCCATTTCTTAATCTGCTTATCTCCTTGAACACAGCTCCACTCTGCTTTTTGGTGCCCCTTTTCACGTTCTGCACTTTTCCTTGCTTAGCTTGCTCTTTTTCATCAAAATGGAAGGTAGCAACCACACAACAGCTATACAGGGCTCTTTTGAGATTTCCTTTGCTAATGCAATTAATCTAAATGTCTTCACTTCAGCCTCAGGCAAACTCTTCAGACAAGGGCAAAAAGCAGCCTCATTCTTCACTAAAACATCACAGAAGGATCTCTAGGCCACATACTAAAGTTCTCCTCTGAAACTTCTTGAGCCAGGCCCCCAGTTCAAATCACCCTCAGCATCACTGTCTTCCATGCTTCTACTAGTATGACCCAGTAAGCCCCATTTATGCCATTCCACTGTTTTGCTAATCCAAAGTCCCCAAATCAACATTCCCCCTAATTTGTTTTTTTGAGCATGGTCAGGCCTATCACAGCAATGCTTTAGTTCCTGGCATCAGCTTCTGTCTTAGCTAGGGTTTCATTGCTAAGAGACACCATGACCAAGGCAACTCCTTTTGTTGTTTGTTTTTTCAAGACAGGGTTTCTCTTTGTAGCCTTGGCTGTCCTGCACTCACTTTGTACACCAGGCTGGCCTCGAACTCACAGCAGTCCACCTGCCTCTGCCTCCCTGAATGCTGACATCGAAGTCTGGCCCCACAGTGACTCACTTCCTCTAACAAAGCCACATCTCCTAACAGTGTCACTTCCTATAGGCCAAGCATTCATACAGTCTATGGAGGCCAGACTTATTCTAACCACCACATACCCACAGATGAGATAAACAAATCCTTAAGAATGAACAAAAATGATAACGCTTCCTTAATTTCCCAGGCTTTTAAATTTGCTCTTTCCTTTCCTTTCCTTCTTTCTTTCTGACAGGGTCCTGTCTGTCGTAGAACTGCCTATGTAGACTAGGCTGGCTTGAACTCAGAGATCCACCTGTCCCTGCCTCCAGAGAGTTGCGATTAAAAGTATGGGCAACCATGACTGGCACCCTAGTTTGTTTGTTTGTTTGTTTTTTTAAACACAGGCGGGAAGTGACTGCTTGTCTCAGGTTCTGTCATCTCTAAGGAGGTCTCATGGCAAACTGGTGCTAATGACAAGATGTCTGGGGTGTCACATGGGTGTGACAACGTGTCCTTCCTGGGGAAAATGAGTCTTACACTGAGAGCAGTGTTAGTGCACTCTAGCAATGTTTTGGTAATATAAATTGCATATACATTTAAAACACACTCATAGATTTTATGAGTGTTTTGCCTGTATGTATATATGTGTACCTCCTACATACCTGGCGGCCTCAGAGGTCAGAAGAGGAGGGCTGGATCCCCTGGAACTGGAATAACAGATGATTTTGAGCCACCATGTAGGTCCTGGGACCAAGCCTAGGCCTCTAAAACAGCAACAAGTGCTCTTAACCCGAGTCATCTCTCCAGCCTCTCACCAACACAATACTCATTCCTGTAAATGATGTAGTTTCATTGTATTTCATTAAAGTGACCCTGACCTTCTCACTTAAATGTCTTAGTAGGCTGTTCACTTCCTGTGTGTTTCTGTTCTGTTTTTCTTGTTCTTCAGTATTTTGGTAAATGGTCTTATTTACACCTAGGTGCTGTTCTATGTACGTATCAGAGTTAAGATAAGAACTAACATAAACTCCTTTAAATTGCAGTAGTAGGGTATGGAAAAGGGGTTTGAACATACCAGCATACATGGGATCACTCCCATGTGCACATCATGGTGAAAGGTGCTATAAAAAAATACAAAGGGCAAAAAAGGACAGGGAGCAACAGCGAAAAACGCACGGGATGCTACATCGCATAAGGCAGACAGGGAGGACCTCTCTGGTCAAGAGATTTGAGAAAGCACCTTCTTGAAGAAAGTAAATAAGCCATCCACAGAAATGGAAAAGAATTCCAGGCAGAAGAACATGGCAAGAGGGACGTGAGTTGATATATTGAGTAAGGAAGGCGAAGAGGAGTTAGGGAATGGGGCAGGAACCACTGAGGAGTGTCCTGAGATGGCTTGGGGGACGTGGGAGAAGCAAGTGACTAGAACCTGAGGTGATGAGCACTTGCTGAGGAACAGAAGACCCTCCACGTTCACAGACTCAGCTAATCCTGGCTTGGAAAAACAAAGCCTCTTGGACTCAATCTTGCAGAACACTCCAAAATCACCAGAAACTGGTAGTGGTAGAACATGCCAGGAATCCCAGCATTTGGGAGAGGGAGGCAGGAGTTCAAGGCCACCTTGACTGCATGAGATCTTTTTTTTTTTTAATTGACCTATCCAAATTGGTCTGGGAAACGAGGAGTTCAACAGATTAGACCACAACATAAGGAAATGAAGTTCATTCTCTTCACAAGGCACCAGAGGGGGTTTAGAGGGGTAGAAATGCCGTTGAGCTGTGGCTCGCTGGGAAATCGTGGGGCAGGGTCTTTCACTGACATGAAGGCATTCTATGAGCTGACGAGGCACTAGGAATAGGGTTCAAGCTTAAGTGACGGTGTCAACATTGGATGCTGAGCAGTCCATCCTTTCTCACGCTGATCTTTAAAATTTTTTCTTTATGTTTATTTATTGTGGGTCTGTATGCATTTGTTTGGGCTCGTGCGACATGCATGTGTACGGAGTCGGAGGATAACTTACGGGAAGTCTGTTCTCTCTTCCACCGTGCAGAGGGCAGGCTCTGGTCATCAGGGTTAGTGGCAAGTGCCCTTAGCCACTGAGTCATCTTTATCTTGGTAAATACTCAGCTTCTATGCCTCTGACCTCATTAAGGCCAAAGTTTGTCATGTTAAAAACATGTTTCAAATGTACCCTGCTCACTAGAGAGCTCAGTTTTTGAAGTCAGAATAGAATAACTTTTGAAAGAAAAAGAATTCCTCATTTTCGATGCAGTGAAAAGCACTTCTTTGCTTAGATTTTGACCTAAGGACATCAACAAGTTATTCTGAACGGCCATATGCTAACCCCTGAAAGGCTTTTCTACTGACCTGAGCTAACAGCTCAAGCAAAACTCCAAGTCTTCTCTTGTAGGAAAGGTTTCACTTCTAGGTTAAAGTCTGGCATCACTTAGAACATTCTGACTCAAGGGGAGGAAGCCCCTAACAGGCCCCAGAGCAAGTGAGGGCACACATTCTTTGTGAATGGGGATATCTTATTCCAGTCTTTTTTCAAATAAGTAAAAATCCTATTTTTCCCAGTTGGGTATCATTTTTCCCTTCTCTCAGGCCCAGCGTTACGCTCTTCATCTGAGACCAGATTAAGAGCCATCTGAACCTTCTGCAGAAAGACAAAGGTTTCCTCCAAGACAATAGGCATAAAATACAAGGGAGTCTGGTGGACACCTGAAATGCCAGCACTCTGGAGACGGTGACCAGCACACCCGGAGTTTGATGTCAGCCTGTGCTACATTAGTGATCCTATCTCAAAGGTAAGAAAAATGAGAGGGAAACGCAAAGGACCCTATTTTGTGGTTTTATGCTTTTGTAGAGAAAATCTAAGTGATGACAGGCACTGCTCCACCAATTCCTGCTTGTACTTTTAGAAACAAGGGTTTGTCCACACAGTAACTTGGCTGCCTACTCTGCTGAAGGATTCTCTAGATGGAAGCCTACCTAAGTTAAAGGCTCCAGATTTCCTGGGCAATGTAGAGAACTGAAAACTAGGCAGAGCAGAGCAGAGCAGAGCAGAGCAGAGCAGAGTGGGGTTTATTACAGAAAGATAGTTTCATCATTTTATATCTTCAGTATAAAAGGGAAGTTGAGGATGTTTGAAGAGTTGTATTTTGGCTGGGAGAGAAAATATTTCTTAATTGTCTTTCAGGCCCAAATCATGTTTTCCAGGTTGACCTGTACGGTTTGCTTAATATTGTCAGTTGAGACATTTAATTAGGCTATTTGATTTCTAGCAATATCAGTGACAAGTAGAGGGGAAACATGAGGTACCAGCAAGGATGAACATTAGGTTACTGATGTCTTAATATGAAAGAAATAGGTGATTTTATTACTCCTACTGAAACAACAAAACCCTCAAGGCCGTGAGAGCTGATGCTCCCCTCTGGGTGTCCAGTGTTCCATCAGAATTGCTCTCTTCCATAGAGTACACACTTCAGAGCCCTCTTTATGTTCTGGCCCCTGCTTCCTCGAGTCTGTGTGAGACTGTCTCCTCGGCAATCCTTCCTTCCTTCTGCATACAATGGCAGAACATGGAGTGTCCCATTCCCACAGGTGGCTAAGAGCTTTCGGCAACCACCAAATAAAACGGAAAAGACTCAACTGTGAGCCACATCCAAAACACAACTTTAAAACTTAAGGAGAGTTGGTCTTGTGTACCTCATTTTACCTCCTTCCCGGCTGGATACCTGCTAGAAGGCCAGAGACCTCTGAAGAAATGGCTGGCCAGCTGGCTTGTTATAACCCAAGGGCAGCTGTTCTAAATCTAGGATACACAAGTTTCCATGGTAAAATAATTTATCCTAAAAAATTAAACCATTTGTTACCTTAGTTTGCAAATACAGAGGAAATGCCAGAAGCACAAATTTAAAAAAACTATTTTATTATGAAATACACAGTGAGTGGAAGAGTACATGTTACAAAAATTACAAAAGAGAAAAGCAGAGACAAAAGGGTTAAGTACCCATTTGTATGGGCTCCATTTTGAATAAAACAGACGAGGCTGCCGAGGCTGCCGGGGCACAGCAGTCTGTTGAAAGCTGTGTTCCTTGGAGTAACCCTCTGGTAGAAAAGGACTAGTAAAGTGTCTAAGTGTGCTCTAAATTAAATTACAGCATCTCCAGGCCAGCTTCCACAGGCGTGCTTAGGCAGGGATCTGTGAGAGACCCGACTGCCTGTCTTGCTGAACGAGCAAAGCTGCGGGACTAATTGTCTTCCCCACCTTCCACAAGGCTTTGTTCAGGTGACTGTGGAATGTGGTGTCAAAAACCCCATTCATTTCTGCTGCAAGCTCCCTCAGAACAGACACTGTGCACTCATCACCGGCATTCAGAACCCGCACAAAGAACTTGCTCCATAAGTCACCGTCTTTTAGCCTAAGAAAATATAAAAATCATTTCTATCAAGTTCAGGCAGATGAAAATCGGAATTCTTTCTCAGTTTAGCTCAGCGGTCCATTAATGTGCCAAAGTGATGTAGGGTAATACCAAGAGTTCTAAGGCTGGGGATCGTTCAAGCACTCATTTGAAAGCTCAGGGAGGAACTCAAAAACAAGTCTAGCACGGTGGTGTTGAAGGCACATAAGAGAAATCACATTCCCTCACCCAAGCCCACGGGTCTCTTCTGTATACCAAGATGCAGTGACACCTGCTAGCGCTTCTCTACAGTGGTACCTGCTGGCTTTCCTCGACAGCACGCCAGGAAGTGACATCACTCACACATCAGGCTCTGCCATCCTCACGGTTCTCTGGATCCTGACCTCGATTAAAGTGACTTGCTTTCTTATTCTTTTGTCTTTTCTCTGAACACACCTACTATTGTGGAGGGCTGAGAAGGGACACCCACCCCAGCTATTTCTGATTGTGCTGACTATCACTAGCAGGTCCAAAGCCAACTGGAGATGCCTATTAACCCTTCAGGTCTGAAAGCATGCTTCAAGCTATTTCATTAATGTATTTATTTTTGTTTTGGTTTGAGACAAGGTCTCACCATGTAGCCCTTGCTGGCCTTGAACCTCTGCCTTCCCAAGTTCTGGAATTAAAAAACAGATCAGGCTCAAACCTATTTTAAAAATACACATGAGAGACAAATGTGATTGGCCAAGTTCTGAATCAAATGGAGAAGAAAATACAACTTAAGGTTTTGGAGAGGAAAATGGGGAAGGAGCATTAAATCTTCAACACTGATTTAAAATTAAAACAAACCTAATAATGGGCAACAAGTCATTACCTGGTGAGCTTATGCTGAGAAGCCATTCGCAGCACATAAACTATCTAACAGGCTCACAAGAGGCCTGAGAAGTGCTGATGTCCTGAGATAGCACTTATTTTTGCTCCGGGAGATTTTGTTCTATGGTTTGGTTCTACCTACTCATTTAACATATGATAGTCTAAAATCAGTATATAACTTGGAAACTTAACTCTCCTTCCAAAGATGATTAACTTTTGATAAATACAGCTGTGAAAAAGCCTAGCACCAGCCGGGAGTGGTAGTACACGCCTGTAATCCCAGCACTTGGGGAGGCAGAGGCAGGTGGATTTCTGTGAGTTTGAGGCCAGCCTGGTCTACAAAGCCAGTCCAGGACAGCCAAAGCTACACAGTCAAACCCTGTCTCAAAAAAACAAAAACAAAAACAAAACTAGCACCAATTGGTTAGAGAATTATTCTTCTAAAATGTTTCTGATATCTCTAAACTAAGAACCCTCCATACTCCTATATATGTCGCGGTTCTGAAAAGTCTGTCTTATTTTCAATCGGCAACTCCTGTGCCCTGCACCAGGTCCCCTGCAGAGAGAAGTCACTGGGATCACGGAACTTGGTTTAGAAAAACTAAGGTTACCTTCTACAGCAGGGGCCGCTGAAGGGAGGGAGACTATCAGGATGGGCAGACACCCTGCCAGGTCCAGTACTTACTCAGAAGTATTTTGGCTCAGTTTCCACAGTTGCCCATCCCAGAAGACATCCAGGTGTTCCTTGAACAACAGTAAGTGAGCTACGTCTGCTATACCCAACAGATCCACCTGAAATCACAAAACGCTCCATGAGCCAAGGCCGTCTCTGCCTGTTATCAACTTATTTACATAAGAGTTGAAAAGTGTGGCAGAGCTTAACTGTTCATTTTATGACACATTTTAGTGGATGGTCCTTTATCTTTACAGGATGGGGACAAGCTCCTCAAAGAAAAGATCAGAGATAACTTAAGGGATTATTATTATTTTAGCTTTTCGAGACAGAATTTTTTTTTTTTGTCTGAGATAGGGTTTCTCTGTGTAGCCTTGGCTGTTCTAGAACTCACTCTGTAGACCAGGCTGGCCTACAGAGATCCTCCTGCCTCTGCCTTGAAGGTGTTGGGATTAAAGGCATGCACCACCAACTCCAGCTTTTTTTTTTTTTAAGAGCCAAAGACAACAGATGATGTGGATTACCAAATTACATCAGCAAAGCTACTATCCTCGCATGGACTCCAGCTGTGAGCTACTGCGGCCCACGTGGCCACTTCAGGTACACGCCACATATCCGGTCCACAGACACCTTATGTCTAGAGCTAAGCCAGAAGATGTTTGCATAAGACACTTTACGTCTGCCCTAATGTCCTTTTTATGTATCACTGCATTTACTCTTCACAGCTCTGATGTCTAAAGAGCAGAGGCTGCTATCCTCACTGCAGAGTGAAAAGCAAAGGGAATAAGTCACAGGGCATGACGTGGATGGTGAATAACAGAGATGGCCTGAGCACCTAAGTCACCGAGTTCCGTATTTACATGTGTATGTTTACAGTTCTTCACGGAAAAATGGTTAACTGTAAGTTGCATGGTGATACACTACTTGAAAACTAGGCCAGCTTTTCTAGGCAAGTCAGTGCCAGGAAATACCAGCTCTCACAGCTTGTCTGGCATATTTGTCCAGGCTTGCCTTCCACTTACCTGATAGGGAGAAGAACAGTTCTCCAGGATCTTTTGTCCTTCCAGGATCTGTACAGTCCGAAAGCCGCTGTAGGCAAAAGCATCCAGCTGCGCCCTCAGGTCAACACTGTTGGAGAAGTCGACTATCTTCACAGCGGGATCGTTCTTACTGCAATCATAGGGATCGTGGATTCTGAAGCCAGATTCAAGAGGAGATAATAGAAAGAGGCTGTGAAAGCAGCTGCAGAGCTGGCCCTTTTTTTTTTAGTTCTCTTTTTTTAAAATAGGACTGCAGGTGTGTCTTAGCCTTGGCAACAGTGCCCTCCAGTGGTTAGTTATGAAAACGCACACATAGAAGTAATGGCAAGGGCAGCCCAAAGGGTTAAGATGGCTTTGGTCACACAGAATCTCTCTAATCTAAACCACAGCGTGTGGTCACCACAGAACATCTCAAGTTTCTATACCATGTATGCAGCAGGCATTGTCATTAGAAGTAGGCTCTGCCACACACAGGAGTCAGAGCCCTTCTTGTTTACTGTAACAGGTGGGCTTTCCAAGTAGCAAGGGACCTACCTCTGAAGTTTAATAAAAAAGTTTATGAGGTTATTTTCCAGTGAACTGCTACCTATATCGTGAAGTTTCCTGTTTCAATGAAACCAATACCATATTTTACCTTACTTTTTTGGTAACCTTATCTCTTACTTTCTAAGAAAATACTTCAAAACATAAACTTACTATCAATTAGTGTATTTCATAAAATATTCGCTATGAATATCCAGAAACAATTTGCTTGAGGGGGGAAATAGCCTTTTGTTTCCTTTCTCCATCAGTTACCTCCAGTTCCCCACTGGTACCAAGAGAGGCTTTACAAGACATGAATCACACACCTCTGTAGCAGAAGGATTTCGGAATGTACAGCATTTCTTTTTGGCATAGATCCAACTGAATTTTGCTTTTATAAACTATGATCACTTAAAACATTTTTTCTAAGCTCGAGAGAATGCGTCACAGATTAATACAGAAGCATAACTGTTCTCTAGCTCTCTCTCAGCTGCTAGCGTTGCCATGGGCAAAACCTTTCTCTTCCTCCTCTCCCTCTCCAGGCACCAAACCCAAGTTATTAATCACGTTACCACTGAGCAGTCTCCCAACCCCTCGATCTCATTTTCCTCACAAGTTACATACACAATAAACAAAGCGCTTCAAAAGCCTCTTTCTTGGGGGTAAACATGGCTCAAAGGTTAAGCGCATTTGTTGCTCTTGCAGAGGACAGGGGCTCAATTTCTAGAATCCACATGGTGGCCTACAACCACCTGTAAGTCCAGTTCCACGGGATCCCAGGCCCCTCTCCTGCCCTCCACTGGCATTAAGCGTGCATGTGGTGCGCATCCACACATGCAGACAAGCACACATTTTACGTATATAATAAAAAGGCTCTTCTGTATTTACTATCTTATGACTATATATACTCCTGTCCAATTTCTTAAATAAAAGATAATGTCCTTTTATATTCTTCCCGGTGCTCAGTTGGAGCCCAGGGCTTTACCCATGCAAGGCAAGCACCCACATGGCAGCTTTCAACCATCTGTCACTCCAGTTCCACCCGACTCCTACTTCTGTCCTTGCTGGGTTCCACGCATGCACGTGGTGCAGACATACAAGCAGAGAAAACACTCACACACACTTTTTTTTAAGGCATAAATATGACAATTACCTTTGTTTTCAAAAACAAAAAACAGCCGATGTAGGGAAATGAAAAGGACCAACCTGTTTCTTAGGATCAGACTCCTTGGACTCAAGTCTCCATGAACTATTTCGGCTCTGTGTAGCTTCTCTACGATTGTCAAAAGATTGTGAATAATCAACACTATTATTTCATGAGTAATGAATTCGCTGTGTTGAAGAAGATCCTGGAAACAGAAGGACAGCAAACTATTCCTCAAGCTGCCACATCCGTAGCACGCTCCCCTAGGACACCTGCTGTGCACATTTCCTTTTGTTCCCCACAGGAACACAGCCTGCGCCCCTGCCCCAGCGTAAGCTCTGAGGTCTTCCTCCTTAAGACTGTAAGGATTTAATGAGACTGGATGAAGAGCATGAAGGAAAGGTGAAGGTGCTTGCTGCCAGGCCAGAAGAGCGTTGTGATCTCTGGTGGACACAGACAGAAAGGACTCCTGCAAGCTCTTCTGATAATCACATGGATGTGCATGTTCATGTATACACACACACACACATGTAAATAAAGTAAAACACTAAAAAATATTATTTTGGGGCTGGAGAGAGAGATGGCTCAGAGGTTAAGAGCACTGGCTGCTCTTCCAGAGGTGCTGAGTTCAATTCCCAGCAACCACATGGTGGCTCCCAACCATCTATAGTGAGATCTTCTGCCCTCTTCTGGAGTGCAGGTGTACATGAAAACACAACACTGTATACTTACAACACATAATAAATAAATAAATCTGTAAAAAAGATATATTATTTTGTAGCTGGGTGTGGTGGCACACGCCTGTAATCCCAGCACTTGGGGAGGCAGAGGCAGAGGCAGGCAGACTGCTGTGAGTTTGTGGCCAGCCTGGTCTACAAAGTGTTTTATTTAAACAAAACAAAACAGAAAACTGGTAGCAAATCCTGAAGAATACAGCAGAGAATAAAATGATATATTATGTCTGTATTTTAAAAAGGTTGCAGGGGAGGCAGTAAGGGCAAGACAAAAAGTCCATTTTGCTTTGAATAAGATGATGCTTATTCTAGTTAGGTGACTCATTCACTGCTTCCTCCCTCTCCCCTCTCAGGATAAACTGTTAAAATACCAAATAGGTACACGATCAAAGCCACTCTGAAAAGAAGGCTGGGAATGCAGCCCGGCGGTAGAGTGATTGCCTAGTCTGTACTGGGAGCTGGCCCATCGTCAGCACTAAAACCTAACCAGCCAATGAACTGTCACTTGAGAAGAGCCATCGAAACGGTTAAATTTTAATTGGCTTTGTCTTTCTCTAGAGATGGTATGTTGGTGAACACCGGTAATCCCAGCACTCAGAAGCCTGGGATAGAAGAATGAAGAGTTTGAGGCCAGCCAGTCTCTGCACTTACCACCAAGGCTGCTGACTTAAGTTTGAGCCCTGGAACCATGTGCTCAAAGGAGAGCTGACCTGTAATTATCCTCAATTCCCACATACGCACCATGGTGCGCGCGCGCACACACAGAGTGAGTGTTAAATAAATAACAAACAACAACTGGGCTACTTCTTTTCTCTTTTTCTGAGGCAGGCTTTTTCTTTGGGTAGCCCTGGCCGTCCTGGAACTCTCTTTCTTGACCAAGCTGGCCTCAGACTCACAGAGATCAGCCTGCCTCTGCCTCCCAAGTGCTGCGATTAAAGGCGTCCGCCACCACTGCCTGGCTGGTCTATTTCTGGATAATTGAGAGGAATTTTGTATTAAATATCTTAAATTCTTAATTACATTTATTTATTAGTGTGTGTGTGTGTGTGTGTGTGTGTGCGCGTGCGTGCCATGATGTGAGAGTGGAAAGAAGAGAATTTACAGGATTTAGTATTCTCTCATCACAGTTTGGGTCCTGGGGATCATACCTAGGTCAGACTTGCCAGCAAGTCCCCTCCTGTTGAGCCATCTCACCAGCTCTGTATTAAAGTCTTTCATAAATGTAGAATAAATTTGTTTAATTTTAAATTGTATGTTTTTAGTATGACAAACCTGAAGGGTGGAACAATTTATATATTGGTACCAAACGATATGGCCATCTTGGTACTGACAGCAGCTGGAAAGCTGATCATAATCCTCATTCAGACGCTCCTTTAACTTGAGGTTGATATAAAAATCCCACGGGATAGGTTGAGAAGATGCCTGTGAGACATAATATATAAAATGTAAGGGCAATTAGAAGATGGGGTGATGGCTGGGAGATTGAAAACCCAACTGGAGACATGATCTCACCACATAGCCCTGAATTGGCCTAGGGCTCTCTATATAGACCAGGTTAGCCTTGAACCCAGAGATCCACCTGCCTCCGCCTCCTCGAATAAAAAGTGTGTACCACCATGCCAAGCTGGAAAACACGTGTCTTGGTCATAAAGAACAAAATCGCATTAATTGTAGGAAAGTGAACTGTGTTAAGTAAAATGAGCCAGACAGAAAAGGACAAACAGGCTCTGTTTGCTATCATACACAGAATCTCAACTACCCGTGCATGAAGGCAGGAAGGAACTGTAAGGAGGGCAACGGCAGAGGGACTAACTCAAGTTTAGGCTAGCCTGCTCTACATATTGAGTTCCCGACCAGCCAGGACTTCAGGGTGAGACCCTGTCTAAAACAAAAACAACAAACTACGGTTTTAAATCAGCCTGAATCTACAGGTTGTATGGTGCAAGACTCAACCACGGATGGAAAATACTTGGGGTGTGCGGTCGTGCGGGTCAACAGCACACGATAAGTAACATGGCTTGTACATTATGTCAGGTATTATGAGTAGCACGGTGACGACTGAAAGCATATGGAAGGGTGTGTACAGGCTGTTTGCAAATACTATGTCAGTTTATATAAAGGGCTTGAGCACCCTCAGGCTGAGGTCTCTGGCACGGGTAGGAAGTGTCTTAGAAGCAATTCCCTGCAGCTACCAAGAGACAAATGCACTACAGAAAGTAAGACAAAGGAGAAGCTACAGGAGGAATAAAAATATTTTACTTTTGTTTGTGTGCGGTTATGTATGCCCAAGGAGAGGGTCCCTCAGAAGAGGGGCTCAGATCCTGGGGAGCTGGAGTCACAGGTCTTGTGAGCTGCCCAGCATAGGTGCAGGGAAGAAGAGAGAGAGAGAGAGAACATACAGGAAATAGTGTAGTGAGAATCTTGGTTTCTTTAAAAACTCAGCTGTTATGTGATTATTGTTTGCTTTTTTTTTTTTTTTTTTTTGGAGACAGGGCTTCTCTGTGTAGCCTTGGCTCTAATGAACTCACATCTTAGTTCAAGGCTGGCCTTGATCCATCTGCCTCTGCCTTCCTGAGTGCTGGGATTACAGGCATGCACCGCTGCACCAGGCTGTGGTTGTGTTTTTGTTTTAATCCCAGGTGTGGACTATGGGGTGGCTTCAGATTGCCCACAGTAGGTGACTATGATTTGCCCTGTGCCCTGGCAGGGGAGTGATTTTGCCAGCTGAAGATAGTTCTTGGTTGGAATTCTGGGGACTCTGCAGTGGGTGTATCAATGCCAGAGCCCCAAGAAAGGTGACTGCTGGTCCTTCTGATGCTGCTTTTGTTGGCTGCTGACTACAATTTGCTGGATTGCTGGCTGCTAGTTTGAGATATCCTGATAAAGACTGGACTTGCTGCAAGCAACTCGATGCCCCTAATCAGCAGGAAGTAGCCTAAAGAGATCTACACCCCTTTCCTCTCCATCCTTCTTTCTCTCCTACCTAGTGTTGGAGTTGCAAGGGATGGGTATGGAGAAGGGTAGTAGGTAAAGAACCCAATGAAGTAACCAGAACGTACAGCTCCAAAATAGGGCTGGTGAGATGGCTCAGAGGGTAAAGATGCTTTTCACGGATCCCAGAACCCATATGATGGGAGAATAGAGGCCCACAAGCCATCCTCTGATCTATACACACATACACAAACTCAAATAATTAAATGCTAAACTAAGAAATAATTGTACAGGAAAACTTACACCCTAATACAAGAAATTACAAATTGAGAAAGCAAAGAAAATGTCAAGACTGAATGAGCTTCCAGACTAAAAGTTCTGCTGACTACCTGCCTAACACATGGGTGATAAGAGACCTTCCATGCTGGCGACAAATAACACCTTACAGAATCTGGAAAGGATTAAAGTGATAACCGGGCATGGTGACACATGCCTGCAATCCAAGTATGCCTGAGGCAGAGACAGGAGGATTACTGGTTTGAGGGCAACCAGGTCTACATAGACCTTTATTTGAAAACACCTCATGACAACTAACTCCCACAGGTAAAGCTTTAGTTCCCCCTAAAGCCCACTGCACTTCTAGAACTTGATGGCACGGAGTGGCTGACCCTTGACCCCTTTCCTTCATTCCCTTTGTGCTGATTCTTTTAAAACTAGCCCAAAGCTAATGATATTAGGTTGCACCCTAGCCAATTGGGAAAAGACACAGTTGCCACATACGTTAGAATAAAAACCAAGTCAATGTCTGTGCTTGGTTTGGTTTCTAGCACATTCTTTTTGCAAACAAAATTGATTTGCTGAGCTCAAAATAAAACTTAAATAAATAAATAAATAAAGATTAGCGTGGCAAATTACTTCCAAAGTAAGGCTAGGGAGGAGTCGAGGATGTGGCCCAGTATTTGGACATTTGCTTACGCAATGCCTATCTTCAGTTTCTAAAACTATAGAAAAAACAAACAAACAACCCCCCCCCAAACCAATCAGCCAAACAACAACAGAAAAGAAAACCAAACAAGGTTAGAACAAAAGCCTTTAAAATTATAAAAAACAAAAACAAAAACAAAGAAGTCTCTATCCAGTCAAACTACCAATCAAGAAAAGACACAGAATAAGGAATCCTATGACCCAGAGGATTTAAAAACCTTTACCTTCTTTTCCTCAGAAAGCTTCTGAAGAATGTCCTTTTCCAAAAGAAGAGGAATTAAGCCAAGACAGAAAGGAAGGGGAGGCTGGAGAGATGGCTCAGATAAGAGCACTGGCTGTTCTCCTAGAGGACCCGGTTTTAATTCCCAGCACCCACACGACAGCTCACAACTCTCTGTTACTCCAGTTTCGGGGGATCCAACTCTCATATAGACTTACATTAAGGTAAAACAGCAATGTACATAAAAATGAATAAGGAATCATTAAAAAAAAAAAAAAGAAAGAAAAGAAACTGGAAGGAAAAGATATCTGGGTGTCCAAAGTAAGAAAAACATAATGAAGCTATCCTACAGTAATGGTGAATGGAGATTTCAGGGCGATACAAGACTAGAATCTGGTCTGACCAGAGGGGAGCAGTCCACATACTCCAGGGCGTATTTTCTCAACACCATCAAGTCAACACAATAGTATGCCTAGTATGCTTGGACACAGAGTCTTCACAAAATAGTCTGTGTATGATCTGTCATCTTGACCCAGAATGGTGACTGACTTTTGGATGGCTCACTGATTTCTCAGCAAATGAGCCAGCAGACATTAGACAGGGCCGACAGGGCCCTGGGCACAGCCATCTTCCTTGTTTATTTACAAGCTAATGCACTGACGAAGGGTCAGCCTCACCTTTATCATGGTTAGCTCTGCGGAGTGTCTTGGGGCCACCCAGAGTAACTTGTAATCCTCACAGATCAGGAACTCCTGTTTGATGCAGTAATCTTCGTTACCTGTTGGAAAGGTTTGATTCCATTTTAAAGTCACTGTGAACATATGTAGGTCCTCACACTTTACCTCCTGGCTTAAGCGTGAGAGGTCTGAGTGTTTTTGCCCATAAGTGGCATCTAGAATACTTTTCAAAATCATTCGCTTAAAAATCGAAGGGGGAGCGGACAGATGGCTCAGCAGTTAGGAGCACTTGCTGCTCTTGCAGAGGACCCGGGTTTACTTCCCAACACCATATGGTGGCTCACAACTACCTGTAACCTCAGTTCTAAGGGACACAACAGGCATCACATACACACAGGCAAAACACTCATAAGATAAAATACATAAACCTAAAAAAAATATTTAAAAGAGGCAAACGAAAGTACAGCTGTTATTGTGGCATGAAATTATCACTGTGTTAGACACACTACATTCAAGGGCTTACGGTGTCCAAATCACTTATTTGTGTGCTGTCACAAGCAAAAGAACAGGTGTTCAGCAATACTTACCAAACTCAATTTCCTCTCCTATTTCCAAGGTAGGCATTGGTCTATCTTCCACAGACAACTCTGTACAATCACCTAACTCTGGCAGGGATTTTAACAGTTGTAGGCGATACTGTGAACACCAGGGTGACTGAACAGCATTCTCTGAGGAGAAAAGAAATTGAAAAAAAAAAAAAAAAAAAAAAAAAAAAAAAAAAAAAAACATAAAAACTAATGTTCACCACATGGTACTAAAGGGGCTGGACAGATGGCTTGGGGCTAAAAGCACTTGATCTTCCAGAGGATCTGAGTTCGGCTCCTGTCTCACTGCTCACAACTGCCTGAGCTGATGCCCCTTTTTTGGGCTTTGCATAATCTTTCTCTTTCCCTCTATTCTTAACTCCCCTAACTCTCCCACCTCCACCACATGCAAATAAAAAAGAATTAAAAAACAAAACAAAAAACAAAACAAGAAACCAGAATGGGTGGAGGAGCTGGAGAGACAGTTCAGAGGTTAAGAGCACTGGCTGCTCTTCCAGAGGTCCTGAGTTCAATTCCTAGCAACCACAAGGTGGCTCCCAACCATCTATAATGAGGTCTGGTGCCCTCTTCTGGCATGCAGGTGTACGTGCAGGCAGAACACTGCATACATAATAATTAAACCTTAAAACAAAACAGAATGGGGGCTAGGCAGTGGTGGCACACATCTTTAATTTTAGCATATGGGAGGCAGAGGCAGGCAGATCTCTGAGTTCAAAGTCAAAATGGTCTACAGAGTGAGTTCCAAGACAGCTAGGACTTCACAGAGAAAACTTGTCTTGGAAAAACAAAACAAAACAAAACAAAACAAAACAAAACAAAGGTGTGCGGTGATGGATTGGGGAAACACTCCAACACTACAAATCAACGCTGCTAATGTGGCCACATCCATTTGCCTTGGGTTCTGATGAAACTACGTTGGGTTACTGCTGGTTCATCTGGTAATCTGACAACTGTGGCAGCTTCACTAGTTGACCGTCAGTCTGCATTCACTGGGCAGGTCAGAAGCATGCCCGCAGGCTGGATGGGTCTACCTGTAGTGTCGTTAGTCAGCTCCAGCTTCTCGGGAATCTGAAGGCTTTTGATGGAGGACGTACTTGTAACAGAGGCAGACGATCCGGAGAAGCCAGATGAATGAGTAGCTTCGCGGCTGTCTTCAATAATTGGGCTGCGAGAAACAAAAGTGAAGCTGTCCTCAGGGATATATTCTCCAACTTGTTAAAACTTTATATATTTTCTTAATGAAGATCCATTTACTTTTTCTATATACTTATCTATTACATACAGTGTCCTTCCTGCATGTATGCCAGAAGAGGGCACCAGATCTCATTATAGATGGTTATGAGCCACCATGTGGTTGCTGGGAATTGAACCCAGGACCTTTGGAAGAGCAGCCAACAGAAACTCTTTACCTCTGACCCATTTCTCCAGCCCCTCTATTTTCTTTTATAACTGTTTTGTCTGCATGTATGGCAGTAGCTGGAGTTACAGAGGGTTGTGAGCTCCTTGTGGGTGCTCAGAACTTGACCTGGGACTCTGCAGGAGCAGCAAGTGTTTTTAACCACTGGCCATCTCGTTAGCCCCAGCTTTATACACTTCTAAGTTATAAATTTTACACTGAGCTAATCTTGTGATAAAATTTATTTTAAAATAATTTATAGATGCTATGATTTTTATTAGCCTCATTTTTAAAGCACATAATTTTCCCAAATCAGAAATAGATTAAAAAAAAAAAAAAACATTTTCCTGTAAGATTTATTTATTGTATGTATGTGAGCGTTCCCCTCACAAGTTTGTGCCCCATGTTTGTAGGGGTCAGAAGAGGACAATGAATACTGGAGTCATGGACAGCTGTGAGTTGCCATGTGGGTGCCGGGAATTAAACCCAGGTCCTCTACAAGGAAATGCTCTTAGCTGCTGAGCCACCTCTCCTGCACCTCTGGGTCTCAGAACCACCCAAAATTACTTCTTCTAATCCTCAAACCCAAACCAGCATGTGATCTCCACTCTAAGCATTTGGAATCTCTAAGCATTTGGAAGAGAGCCTCCTGCCTAGTCACTGTAACCGAGGATTAGCCCCCAGACCGAGGAAGCCCACACTCCAATCACCTCAGCTTCTTGATGCTGAGGGTTTGGTTATACATAGTGGCTGGCGCAGTGTGGTGGCCCTCGGCCTTCCCATCGAGATCCTCTTCCTGCAACAGCCCCTCAGGACCGGAAGGGATGCCCTTCAAGGACAGTATCTCATGAAACGGAGTAGATGCAAAACGAGCTGCTCTAGCAAAGTCACAGGTGTCCTCAGGGTTAGGACAGAGAGTGACGTTCCTAAAACCTGTGATGATGGCGTCCTCACTCAAAGGTTCGATTCCTGTAAATTCATCCTATAAAAAACAAAACACAGTTTAGCTGAGACAGTTCAACAAATATGTGTGAATATATTTGTTGTGATATATATGTGATATGTATATCACATATATCAAATAAATGTGATAGGAAACATATATACATACACATGCTTTTTTTTTTTAAATCTTCGACATAAGATCAATGACATGGGATCTAGAAATAACATACCAGGACCTCTAGTTGAAGACAATTTAAAAAGCATAGGACAGCATTGAGGAAAATGATTTTGTTAACAAAGAAAACTATACTTCAAAAAAAAAAAAAAAAAAAAGGACTTGAGGACTTTATAGACAGAAAAACTGCTTAATGTCCTCTCGAAAACAATTTTACCTGAAACGGGAGAACTGACAGTACCTTTCTCACTTATTACATTTATTTGTATGTGTGTGTCGGGGAAAGCCATGTGGTCAGAGGACGACTTGTGGGAGTCAGTTCTCTCCTTTCGCCATGTAGGACCCAGGAATCAATCTCAGGTCACGAGGCTTGGCAGGAAGTGCCCTTACCTACTGAGCCATCTAACCAGCCAAATGCTAAACTTCTGAGAGATTTGAGTGAAATAACTCTCTAAGCCCATGGATGTTAACTTACACAGGCATCAGGAGATGTGTCCTCATTTGAGGCGATGGTTTCCGTGCTTTTGAGAACTGCGAGGGGTCTTCGCTGGGCTCTGAGAGCCTGTGGAGGGTCTGCAGCAGGACTGGGAAAAGACACATTCCAGTTAACACTCCCTCGTCTGTGGGCAGAGACAACCGCCAGCCTCTCATTTATGTCTTTCTGGTTGTTTGCTGAGATAAAGTTGTATTATGCACTCCAGTCTGGCCTTGAACCCATGGTCTTCCTATCTCAACTCCTTCCTAGCCCTTAATGTGTATCAGAGTGCTTGGCTACCCTCACTCACAGGGCGAGAATATTGGGGAACAACATGGCTCGGCAGGTACCAGTGCTTTGTAGTCCAAGCCTGATGACTTGAGTTCGACCCGAGAGACCCAATGGACATCCGATTCACAAAAGCTGTCCTCTGGCTTCCACATATGTGCCATGGCATGCAAACCCCCATAAATACATGTGTGTGTGTGTGTGTATAATATATTATATGTGATAGTATTTATGTAATATACACATACACATGATACATAATACATGTCTTCAAGAAATTTAAGGTAAGGGGCTGGAGAAATAGCTCAGTTAAGTACTCGCTGCTCTTGCAGAGGACCTGGGTTCGAGTGCTGGCACCCACATGGGAGCTCACACCAGCTTGGTAACTCTAGTTCCAGAGGCTCTCACACCCTTTTCTGGCCATCTGTGCAAATTGTGTACAGATATATATGCAGGCAAAACACCAACACGTATAACATTTTTTTTTAGTTAAAATTTTTTTTTAAATCTAAAATCTAAGTTAAGTGTTCGTATATAGGAAGATCTATTTCTTTAAAAACGTAACAACAAACAAACAAAAAACAATAAAACCAAACCTTTTGTCCTTTTCATCTGAAAGAAACTCATCAAAAATGGAGAAAGGCATACTGGGACCTATAGAAAGAGAATAAAGTTTTATCAGTGTTTAATTCAAGAAAACTATAGAAAGTAATGAAAACTGCTGTTTGAAGGAAAAATGACAGTTGAAAATAGGTTTTTAATCATGCACACACGTGTGTGTCTTGTGTGCGGGTACAGTACACACACATTAGTGAGTCAGGTATCTGAAGTGGTCAGAAAAGGGCATCAGATCCCCTGAAGCCGCACCTGTGTACTGGGGACCAAACTTGGGCCCTCTGTAAGCAACCTGTGCTCCTAACCACTGAGCCACCTGTCCAGCCTCTGATTTGTTCTTATAGTGAAAAAAAATATTTAAAGTAGATCATTTCGTAATAATTCCCTAAATACGCATGATCTTAATACGTCTGTGCTCTCCAGCCATGCAGCTACTCCCCAAACACAGCACGGCCCTGACAGTGGTCCAGGGCCATTCCATCTGCAAATATTTCGGTATGATTTTCTAAGCATTTAAAAGGCTCTTATTATTTATCTGTGGTTTATTGTTTATCTTTTTATTAATTATTATGTATCTGTATAACTAACAATCTCTGAATAGCTAGCCAGTTCGACATTTTAGTAACTGTTTACAATGTTTTTTTTTAAAAATGTGTTTGAGTTGGAAACGCATAATAGGATCTGTATACTGTCAATGATTCAAACGCCTCCTTCTGAAGCTGAGGGGGGTGGCTCAGTGGATAAAAGGCTATTGTCATGTACCTGACAACTGAGTTTGATCCCTGGAACTGACATGGAAGAGGGAGTTGACTCCTGAGAGCTGTCCTGACCTCCACATGTGCAATCACATGCAAGCACACACATACACAAATAAGTATGAAAAACACACACACACACACAAAATCCAACTCTTTTTTTTTTTGGTCACTTCATGCTGGGTTTTGCCAGTTATTTTCTCCCTACTGTTCAACACGCTTCTTCCTGCTTTGTGCTCCCTATATATTGTTTGGTAGGGTTCGAGGCCCGTTAGATTTATTTTTACAAAACTAATTTCAAGTGGATATTCATGTTTTGCCACTTAAAACCATTTTTGTATGTAGAGTCTTTTTGTTTAATACTTATTTTTTGGTGTGTACATGTGTGGGCAAACATACGGCGGTCAGAAAAAAAACTTGTGGAAGTCAGTTTTTCTTCCCGCCATGCGTCTTGGGCTTGAACTCAGTTCACTAGGCAATTGCCTTCACTTGCTGAGCCATCTTACCAGCCCTTAGGTCTCTTTTTACTTTTATTTTTCATAGCTTACATTTTGCCTTTAATAGCTTTTACACAACAATAATCACTGATGCGAAAAGAAACGGAAAGGGAAAATGTGTCATCTTTTCAACTAAGCTTAACAGATGGGAAGCCTAATATTTTTAACATACTGCTAGCAGAAGAGAACACCAATATGAATATAAAACAGTTCAAAATATCCCCCTCTCCAAGAGCTGCTTTCCTTACAAAGCTGCTGCTGGTTACGTCTGCCTGAGTGTAGACTTAAACAACTGTTTTGCATGTGTGTTACATATCTGTGCAGTCAGGTGACTGCGTGAAGGTCAGCAGGTTCTGAAGCTCAAACTCAGGTGTTTGGGCTCCACAGCAAGCACCGTGACCGGCCAGGACTTGCTGGCCCTGAACTGAGTGTTTCAAAAGGTGAGAAATCTTATGAAAATATTCTCTCAAATCACACGTAATGGATTATATGTGTTTATAATTAATTCCTTTATTTAAAGACAAAATAAGACTCTATGCCAACTCATCTTTCTTCTTTTAATTATTTTACTATAATTAAAGAAGAGCATTTACTGGGTCTTGTGAAATGCATTTGAGTTAGTATTTGTCACAACGCTGTCCAATTCAACTTACCTTTAGAGTCAGGCTGTTCTTGCAAAATGTTTTCAGCAGGTGAAGCTTCCCTGTAAAGAAATTTGTTTAAAAAAACATGTGTTCAATACCCACAGAAAGACCTTCTGTTTTAGAGGCAGAGCTCATACTATCCAGGCAGCTTCCAAATAACAGCGGTGGACGGTGGCCTTGAAATGCCCCCCAGAGGTGGGATAACAGGCAGCTGCCACAGTCATACTTTTTTATTTAAGTTTGAAGACTTTCTGTTAAGCATAATCTTGTTCATCCTATTCAAGAGGGAACCATTACACACTGAAAATGCTATAAATTTTTTGATAACACAACAACAGTTAAAGCAGATTACAAAATGGTAAGCCACCAATTTTATGAAACAAAAATAACAGTACCACAGAAGGCACATTTTAGCATGGACAGCAGCTATCTTGTGTGGTCATTTTTTGACTTTTGAAATATTTTTTTTGTTTTCTTGTTTTCGTTTTTTGAGACAAGGTTTCTCTGAGTAGTCCTGGCTGTTCTGGACTCACTTTGTAGAACAGGCTGGCCTCCAACTCAGAGATCCGCCTGCCTCTGCCTCCCAAGTGCTGGGGCTAAAGGCATGTGCCATCATGCCCGACTTTTGATTTTAATTAACATATATTTATTGTAAACAGTACTGGATTGGGTTTTATAAGGACATTTTATGCAAAAATACGTAATATGCTTTATGTATATTTCCTCATCCCACACTTTGCTGTTCTGAGATAAGGTCTTCCTAGACTTTATCTTATCAGCTAGACTGGCTTTGATGATCGGAGCATTCTGACCCACCAGACTGTACCACCATGTTTATGTATTTTGGGGGTGGGGATAGAGGTAGGGCCGCATGTATACGAGGCTCGTCTCAAAGTTACTGGCCCTGCAGTTCTGACTCTCCTGCCTCCACCTCTCAGGGCTCAAGTTACAGAGTTCCAGGCAGGTTCCACTGTTGATTTTCACCCAGGAAAAGTCAGAATCACATACTCCCTCTTAGCACGACACCTTGCTAAAATTGGTACAACTCGTGGCTTAGGGCTGTCAAAACATTAAGGAAACTTCAAATGGCCAGAGCCAAAAGCTTGCTCTATGCTCTGTGAGCACAACGCCTTCCACCACCATGGTCTTACCTGGGACATGAGCTTAGTGGATGGACGGGCCAGGACAGGGATGCTCCCGGCATTTCCTGAGACTCTGAAGCAGTGTGCAGTCTGGCTGTCTCCTTTCTAGGCATCGTCTCTTCTTGCTGCTTTACATTAACATAAATAAGCCAATGTCCCTCCCATACGGAAAAGGCTATTTTTAAGCTCTTGTGCTAACATTTGCTTTATCACCTTCTAGACATCTGCCGACCGATCAATCTCCAATACTTTAGGTCCTGGTCAACCTGATGTTGTTATACTCAAATGAGCAGTATTAAGTATATATTAAAAATTAAAAAGGAACTCCATTTGAATGGATCATGACCAAAATATAAAGTTAAAACCAGAATAACAAGATGAGAATATAATCTAGAAGTCAATGAATGACATCACTAATTTCACATGCCATAAATCCCATTGAAAGTCACTTGTTAAATTACTTCCTACTAGTAATAACTAAAAAACTAACAAAAAAAAAATTTTTTTTTTCAGGTTGGGCATGTATATCAAAGGTAAAACTCTTGCCTGGCATGCCTGAATTTTCTGTATTAAAAAGCAGTAAAAATGTACCTGGTCACCAGCTCTTTCTTGCTGGATAGTCTGGATTTCTTTTAGCTTTCTCTCCATCTCTTCAATCTGTTTCTGCATTTCTGCTCTCTTCTCTGCACTGGTCAACAGTTCAGCTAGAAACAATGGAATCACTTGAGGTATTTCCTCCTCACAAGGCATCCTGCAAAAACTGCCCTAGCCTCATAGCCTCAGTATGCATGTCAATACTGATGAAAACAAGAAAGGGTAACTGGGCCCTCAATTTGAGGTCCAAGTCTCTATTCTTTTATGTATCTAGTCAAGGAAAAAAGGTCCAGCCGGGACCCCAGACTGAAAATGGGGGTCCCGCCTTAACTCTCCTGCCCTCTGTAGGCAGTTCAGTTTCTTTTATTAGCCAATCAGATAATTGGGGAGCATTCCTTATACAACACTGATACAGGAAACTCTTCAACAATCATGACAGTTCCCATGTCCGGACTGCAACCTGATCTCGGGGCACAGAATTCAGCATCTGAACACACAGCACACAAAAATCAACCTCCAACAGGGTCCTCAATTTGAGATCTGGGTTTCTATTCTTTTAGGTATCTACTTAAGAAAAAAAGGAATACCTATTATGCACAAGTACAATGGAAAATAGGTTCCAATGATGTTACAAAGTCCTTGGCCATGTAATTCTAACATTGAAATATGCACACAAAGATGTAAGAGAATCATTCAGAGTTCTAAGCTAGCTTGGGCTACAAAGCAAGACTGTCTCAAAAACACCAAAATTATCTAGAAAACAGGGCGTGGAATGTACCTCAGTTGGCAGAGTGCTTGCTTGCGCAAAACCCTGGGACTGCATGAACCCGGCACAGGGCTGCATCAACCTCCGATACACAGCACACTCAAGGCCGGCCTAACTTATATATGAGACCATTTCTCAAACAAATAAGCAAGGAAAACCAAAACCAACCAAACAAAAACCTACCAAATTTAAGTGGAGGTGGTATGGAGACTATAGCCCAGTGATAGAGAACTCAGCTTATAGTACAAGCCTGAACAACAGCAGAACCAAATGGAGGGAGTAAAACTGTGTTTAATGAGTGGATGAAGATATACTAAAGACCAGTACCATTTTGATGCAGCGCTAAAGCCCAAATGAGGGATCAGTCACATAAAGGTCTACTAGGGAAGGTTTGTCAATACAGGAAGACTACTGTATTGAATCCAGAGGAAAGCCAGCTTGCTTGTTGCATAGTAAGAAGGGGTTGGAGAGGTCGTCAAATGGTGTTTTGTGAAGAAACAGGCACTGGCTTTGGCGAAAGGGCTTCTAATGACCATGAGCAGAGCCGCTTGACAAGAGTAAAAGGACTGCCTAAGAGAACACTGGCAAGACCAGAAGATTGACTAGACTTTCCAAGAAAGTCTGGGGTCGGGCAGATGGCCCAGTGTTAAAAGTGTGTGGGATGCAAGCATTAGGACTGCAGTTTAGATTCCCAGCACCCAAAAAAAGGCTGGGTGAGGGTGCTGGCCCACTTATAATTCCAGTACTTAGAAGGTGGGGAAGACAGGATCCCCAGGGAGAACTGGCTAGCCCACCAGTAGTACATGTGAGCTCTGGCTTTCATCCAGACTATACCTCCATGAAGACTGTGAAGAGTGATGGAGGAAAACTCCCAGGGTCAACCCCGGGTCTCCACAAAAATGTTCACACATGTGACTCCACATACATATGTGGATGTGTGCTGGTGTGAATAAGAATGGCCATAGGCTCATATATTTGAATGTTTAGTCATCAGAGAGTGGTACTACTTAAGAAGGATCAGGAGGTATACAACCTTTTTAAGGTATGGCCTTATGTTGTGGCCTCGTTGGGGAAGTGTCACTGGGGGCTTTCGGGTTGCAAAAGCCCAAGCCAGGCCTAGTGTCTGTCTTCCTGCTGCCTGCAGATTCGGTTGGAGAACTCTCAGCTCCTTCTCCATGCCTAAGTCCCACAGGTTTACGTACTAAACCTGTGAAACTGTAAGCTAGCCCCGATTAAACACTTTCTTTAAGAGCTGCCTTGATCATGGTGTCTTTTCACAGCAACAGAACAGTAACTAAGACAGAACGCAAACCCTATACCCACCCCCAACATACAAACATTGAGAAAAATAAAAGGGGGCCAGGAAGACAGCTCAGTGATAAAGCCTTTGCCACCCCAAGGTGCAATTCTGACAACCCGAGTCTGGTCTCCAGAAGTCAGCTAAAGGTAGAGAGAAACGACCACACTGTCCTCCTGCCTCCCCGTGAGTGCAGGGCACAGGCTCCCCTCCCCTGCAGATATGAGTTTCTTGTTGATGTTGTTTTCTTTTTTAAAGAATAGAAAGTTTGCTCTTCGGGGAAGTGGAAAGATGAGCTAATGGCTTGAGAACAACACGGGGATAATAAAGGACTTCAAAAATATGGATTTACACGGATATGATGATAATAGAGAAATGCAAACAGTATTTACAGAACGAATGCCTGGCAAAATAAGTGGGTAGAGATGGCAGGTTTGACAGTGATAAGAAATGAAATGCTTCAGTTCTCTCAATGAAGTGGGAGAAAATCAGAGATACAGTTGTTAAGACTTGAAAATATGAGAGAAAACTGAGTTTATCTACCCAAATCCCACTCAGCATGGGGGTTTATGTCTGAGAATAAAATGTATCTGACTTCCATATAGAGGTATGAACTAGAAATTTTCTGTTGGGGCTGATGTGGTGCTGCTATTATTCAAATGTTAAATATTGGGCACCAAGATCTAGTTGGTATCTACATGAGCACATTCTCATGTACAATAAGTGATGTTGTGTAAACTTTGCTCACCAATATTCTCTGACTGGTTAAGTGAAGTTGCTGACAGCCTATAGCTGGGCAGGAGAGGTAGGTGGAGCTTCGGTTCCAGGAGAGGTAGGTGGAGCTTGGGTCCTGAGAGGGACCACAAGGCTGGGAGGAGGAGGAGAGGAACAGAAGATAGAGCAGCAGAAGAGGAAGCCAGAGAGGAGGTCGCCATGGGACAGTATGGACCATGAGCACCTGACCATCAGGGCTGGCCAGATTGGAACAGGAGAAGCTCAGGCAGGAACAATTATGGCAAGTAACTTGAGACGTGTAAGTGGGAAACAGCAAAATAGCTTAGAGGGTTGATATCTGCTCAGTTATGGTGCCTTAAAGCTTTTATTATTCTAAAAGGTCTGTCTCAATTATTTGGGAACTAGATGGGGTAGAGAAGCCCTCTAGATTTTAATATTCTTTCCACAATAATTTTCCTTAGAAAATATTTTTACCAGGGTACCTCCTGTTGATAGGGCTCTTTGGGAGCTTGGGGGGTTTTCTGTGCAGGGACTTCTGAGCCCAGGTCTTCACATACGAGATAAGCACTCTCCTCACTGAGCTTCACCCTCAGCTCGTTCCTATTTTAAAAACTTACTATTATTATCGTGGGTGTGCACAGTATGTGATGTGCCTGCTCTGGAGTCAGTTCTTCCATCCATCTTTGGATCAAACTCAGGGGTCAAACTCAGGTCACCAGGCTTGTGCAGCAAATTCCTTTACCTGGTTTACTGACCCCCTGCTCCTGTTTTTATTTTTTCTTTACATTTTATGCGTATGGGTGTTTTGCCTGCACCCGCCTCTGTACTACTTGTGTACTTGGTGCCACAGAAGAGGGGGTTGGATCCCTGGCACCAGTTACAGATGGCAAGGAGCCCTGACATGTGTGCTGCGTCCTCTGGAAGGGCAGCTAATGACCTACCTGACTGCTGAGCCATCTCTCCAGACCTCCAGTTCCTGAGTTCAAAAAGGCAGTGCTCAGTATGGGGTAGTGGTACACACCTTTAATCCCAGCCCTTGAGAGGCTGAGACCAACCTGCTTTACACAGTGAGATGAGACCTTGTCTCAAAACCAGCAAAACTAAAAAAGCAAAAAGCCTCACTCAGCTGGCCCCTCACTTTGTAGCCTTACCTTCTTCCCACATAGGCACACAGGGGCCATTTTCCTACATATCATTTGAAATTTATTTTACCCTCTTGTTCTAACGCCCTAAAGCCTCCAACACTCACTTTCTGTGGATGAGCACACCCTGCTCCGTCTGCTGCCTCCTAATACCCAGAACATACAGCCCAGAGCAGGGACTGCTTTCTGTTCCCCTCAATCTCCAAACTGTCCCTTAATATCAGCATGAGAAAGAATAGGAGCAAATAACTCGTCTAAGTGACTGAGATATGACTGCAGGTGTATCAAGAAAGTACCTGAGGGGTAGGCGCTCTGTCTGCGTGGCAGGGTCACAGCTGCCTACCTCTGCTGAGCAATGGATGCTCCCGCAGTCGATCTTTTCTGCTTTTCTCTTGAGCAGACTGCTTCCTCCATCAAGAGGTTTTATGGGAGGCAGCAATCAGAATTCAGCATATGTACAGTGTATATATATATATTTGTACATACAGAGAAAAGCTGCACAACCTCAGAAACATCATCACACGAAAGCACGGGTGATGGAGACAACCTCTCTCAGACCTGGAAAGAGTTTCTTACGACAACCCACGTACCTTCCCTTCGCTCTTTCAGTTTCTTCCGGAACACTTCAGCTCGGATCTCCTCAAAGGAAAACTCCCCCACTCCGGCATAAATCTTTTCCTTACAGTACATCATCTTCTCCTTCTTCTCCTCACACCCTTGCTGATGACTCTGAACCCTCTGCAGGGGGTCTCCTTCTTCTCTCCCTGGCTTTCTGGTGCTGAGAACATGGTTGATACTAGGCTCAATTTTACATGGTGTCCTAAGGAAGCAAAACAACTATCATTTACTCCAAAATCAAAATGAGTTATTTATTTGTTTTGCCCAAACAGACAGACAATGCCAGCAGTGGGGCTCTATGGATTTGTTTAAAGAACAAACAAAATAGTAACATTTAGAAAAGGGGAGAAAATAATGCACAAGAACCACCAGTAATTATGTTCTAGGACTCTGAGGTAGAACATTTGCTTACAACAATCAAGGTACAAAGTTTGCTCCCCAACACTGGGGCGGGGAGGTATGGGTTCTGCGAGCCGCCTGTGCTTTGAAGAGAATTAGTACTTAAACTAAAGTCACCAAGTCCAAATGACCACATACTGAAACTTCTGAGACCCTGAGCTAAAAATTATCTTTTCTGTTTAGGAGCTGGCTGTGTCAGTATATGACGGTGACAGAAAGTTGATTAACATAGGCTGGAGAAACTCCAGCAGAGAATGGTTCTCCTAACCTATGAAGAACAACTACAAATCATTAAAGAAAGACAACCTGACTGGGCCTGAGGGTGCTCCAGTACAATCCCAGCATGTGAGTGGTCCTCTGACCTCCACACACGCCCTGCAGCATTCTCAGCCACACACACCATGTACAGGCATGCACGCAGGCATGCACACATGCACCCTTGCATACACACACGCCCAAGTTACAATAGAATTTTAAAAGCTAGCCAGAGTGGTGGCACATGCCTAGAATCCTAGCATTAGGGAAGCAGAGGCAGGTAGATTGCTGTGAGTCCAAGGCCAGCCTGGTCTACAGAGCAAGTTTCAGGACAGCCATGGTACATAGTGAGACCTGTTTCAAAACAAACAAATGAATTTGTTTTAATTTAATTAAATAATAAAAATAAATAAATTTAAAAATGGAAATGACATAAAGCTCAACATCAATTCTATAAGATTCCAATGAGTTCCCGTGTTTCATGCTCAGACAGATTCTTATGGTTCCTATCAGATAGTGTGAGTTATAAATTAGCTAAGAGAGTCAGGCATGGTATTGTGTGTCTGTAATCCCAGCATTCGGGAGGCAAAGACAGGTAGATCTCTGAGTTCAAGGCTAGCACGGTCTACACAAAGACTCTGTCTTAAAAAAATAAATACACGTATAGCCATGAGAACTCTTTAAAAAAAAAAAAAAAGATTTATTTTGAATGCTCTTATGTGCATGTACATCTGCATGCCATAAAGAGGGCAGTAAAGAGTATAGATGGTATATGAGCCACCATGTGTGGTTGCTGGGAATTGAACTCAGGACCTGTGGAAGAGCAGACAGAGCTCTTAACCACTGAGCCATCTCTCCAGCCCCAGCCATGAGAACTCTTACACTGAAACTCAGAATTGAACCTAGTATTAGAACTTACAATCTTTAAAGATTAGACTAAAGCTTAGGCTGATTATCTATCATTTAGCCTAATTTTTCTTATAACCAAAATTTTAGGGGGCTGAAGAGTTGGTTCAGCAGTTAAGAGCACTTGCTCTTTTCAGGGGACCCAAATTCAATTCTCAGCAGCCACGTGGTAGCTCACAACTGCTTGTAAGTCCAGTCCCAGAGAATCCAGTGCTCCCTTCTGACCTCTGTGGACACCAGACATATATGTGGGGTACATACATACATGCAGGCAAAACACTCATACACATTAAAACAAATTTTTTTATAATTGTGTTAAGGATTAGGAAAGAGAAGAGAGACACCCAGAAGAGAGAAGCGAGCGAGAGAGAAAACTCCACTTTCTAACTAGAGCATGTCTCACTTGGATTATTATAGGGTCATGTCTGTTAGACCATAACCTTAGTTATTAAGTTCACCCGCATATACAGTGAATACAAAGGAGACACAGAGCCGTGTCTGCCTTCACTCCCACAAAAGGCGTTGGGGACTCTAACAGGTACCTCTGCCCACCTTTAGCAAGTCCCACTGCAAACAGTTCTGCGAGCTACTCACATTACTGTCTGCTGAGCACTCTCCTCCACATATGGAGTAAAGCTGGGAAGCACAGTGGTTACAGATGCCGTTGGAACTGGATTGCCATGAGGCTAAAAATGAAAAAAAAAAATTAAAATGATCATTCTACCACAACTTATGTAGACAATCTCTAAATATTCAAGGAGTTAAGTGATGTTAAAACTCCAGCCAGGCAGGGCGATGCATGACTATAATGCCAGCACAGGGAAAGCTGACACAGGAACATGAAAAGTTGTAGGCTAGCCTGGACTACATAGCAAGTTCAAGGTTAGCATAAGCTAAATAATGAGAACCTGTCTCAAACAAACAACATAAACAAGATCAAACCAAGACAGACCAGTCTGAAGTCTTCATTAGACTGACAAATACTGTGCGTCCTTACCCTATAGTCCAAGGGCCTGTCTGTGTTCCATGGGCCCGGCTGAAGCTCATTCTCTTTCTCTTTGGCCCTAGGGACAGGGGGCGCCATCCATGGCTGGACAACAGGCTTAGATAACTCTTCTCGAGAAGTGCTGTCAGCATTTTCATCAAAAACAGTGATCCTGCGATTACTGCCTATCTGCTGAGGAACCGTATTTTGGAATCCTCTGCTCTGACCCGTAGCTAGGAGGAAAAGATGAGGATGTCATGTAAAAGCATTATCAACTTGGAATCCGTATAAGATATGCACCCTCTGCTCCAAATTTAGAGGACCATTTCCTCTACCACAGACTCAAAATGAGACTTAAAGGTTTGGGTTTTTTTTTTTTCTTTTTTCCTTCCAGGCAAGGCGGTAGTGGCTCACAACTTTAATCCCAGCACTTGGAAGGCAGAGACAGGCGGATCTCTGTGAGTTCAAGACCAGCCTGATCTACAGAGTGAGTTCCGGGACACTGAAACCTTGTCTCAAAAAACAAACAAAAAAAGAAAATAATTTTTTTTTTCTTAAAACCTTAAGTTGGGGTGAAGAGATGACTCAGCAGCTAAGTTCCTAGCACCTCCATGGAGTGGCTCATAATACCTGAAGCTCTAGAAACCTTCCTCTGGCCTCCAAGGGTACCTGCACTCACACGGACCCACCCATACACAGAACAACAACCATATTAATCATTAAGAATAAATAAAATCTTAGTGAAAAATAGTACTAAATTCTCAATGAATTCTCCAACTAATAACAACTTTATTTTCTCTTTACCTTTTCCTTTGTCCTAACACTTCAGTCTTTCCTTTTTTTTTAAGATTTGTCTTTATTATTTTTAATTATGTGTAGGGGTATGTGTCTGCACGTGGGTATGTGTGTGTGAGTGCAGGTGCCTATGGAGGCCAGAGGTATTGGGTCCCCTGTAGCTATGACCTATCCAGTGTGGATGCTGAGAGCAGAACTCAGGTCCTCTGGAAGAATGGCAAGTACTCTTAACCTTTGCGCGTTTTCTAACGCCTGGGCCTTCTCTCCACCCAGAGTCTCACTATCTATAGCTCTGGCTGTCTTGGAACTGAATGTAGACTGAGCCGGCTTCACACACAGATCTCCTGGCCTGTCTTCTAAGTGCTATACAAAAGGAGCCCACCGCCAGACAAGCCCCACATCCAGTCTTTCCATAACTCCTACATCTTCTTTCAGTCACAATACTGTCTAATATTTTTGTTGGTTTTAGGGTTGTTTTTGTTTCTCTGTTTTGAGACAGGGTTTCTCTGTGTAGACCTGATTGTCCTTGAACTCACTCTGTGTACCAGGCTTGCGTCGAACCCATGAATTCCCCCGACTCTACCTCTGGAGTGCTGAGATCAACAGCGTGTACCACCACACTTAGCACGTTATCTAGTTTTATCAGAAACTAACCTAAGTTTTTTTCAGCTTTACAGTTTCTCTTACTTGAAATTAATAGAGATGTACTAGAACCACCGAACACAAAGCTAGCCCACTTATTAGGGGTACCTACTATGGTAAGACAAATTATTTTTTTAAGCCCCACTGCGATCGTTGTCATGGAATAGCCTCTGACACTAGATACTCCCTACTCCCTACTCCCCAGGTCTAAGCTCTCCAATCCACATTCTGATTGCTAGTTAAGAAGAAAAAAAAAAAAGTTTATACCAAGTGTGAGGCACATGCCTGCAGTCCTACACTTGTGCGTGGAAAGAGAAGAGTCAGGAGTTCAAGGCCAGACCCTAGAAAATTCCAAGCTTGAAGCCAACTTGAACTGTGTGAAGCTGACTCAATAAAAAGAGAAAAACTATTGTTGGCCATCTTTGGGTACACAGAGAGTGTCCATTTCTGGTGCCAAACAGCTGAAGATGGTGTCAACTACATTCTCGAAGAAACTAGGGCATTTAAGCTTTACTTTGATAATACCGTCTATATTATATACATCTTCTTTCAATTACAATGTTTAGAAAATGTTGCATCTCAGCCAAGCACGGTGGCACACCTTTAATCCCAGCACTATGAGGCAAGAGGCAGGAGGATCTCTGTGTGAGTTCAACGCCAGCCTGGTCTACAAAGTGAGTCCAGGCAGCCAGAGCCAGAGCCAGAGCTATTACACAAAGAAACCCTGCCTGCCTCGAAAAACCAAAACCAAAAAAAAAAAAAAAAAAAGAAAGAAAGAGAAAATGTCACATCTCAAATATCAGATTCATTCCAAGTCCCAACCTATAACCGCCACCTTTGGCTTCCCTGCACCCTATGATATTAGCTGTCTTTTGGCTTTCCTTTTTGCTACCTAGCGCTCAGAAAACTAGGGCAGCACCCTCCTATACACTTATGTGTTGCCTTCTTACAGAATCTGCCTACAACACATTTACAGGTAACATTTAATGAGCTCACCCTTCAGGGCACCTCCGACACGGCTGATGGGTGCTTTCGCCACCTTTTTCCCTCTGCTCTTCAGCTCGGCTAGTGTGCTTCTCTGTGGTACAGAAGACCCCAAGACTTCCTCCTCCTCTTCATTCCCAAGCGCCAAGAGAGCTTGTCGAGACACTCGAGCCTGGAATTGTCTAAAGCAAGACAAAGGGCAATCAGCTTCCAATAGACACGAGCAGTTCTTACCAGACTTTAAAAATCTACAATAACAGCAGACTAGAGAAAAAAACACAACTATTCCAAAAAAACAATTCTCTAGGAAGAAGGAGAGTGAGTTTAAGACATAAGGACATCTTGGCCAGGATGACTTAAGAGTCCCTTAAAAATGTACGTTTGGCCAACTGAAAACACTCTAAAGTCATCATCAGGTTGATCTAAGGATAAGTTAAGGCTAGAAAATCGATGAAATTCATCTCTCAGAAACTTTTTATTATAAGTCTGAAAATAAAATGTGCAGAATTGTGAACAGGGTAAATGAGTACCCAAATAGCGTTCACCCAGACCCACCAAATGTTAGTACCCTGCCACATCTATCCCCTCCTCAACATACACAATTTTTTTCTTACCCATATGAGATGAGTTTACATACAACATGACATTTTACTTTAGCACAGCTGGCAGAAATTTCAAAACTAACATTTTTGGCTGTTGCTGCTATGATTTTAAAGTATATCGGAAAAACAAAAAAGCAAATAGATTGTAGGTGCTGGGTAGGACCCAATCATACCCACTGCAGCTTCTCTTTCCCACCACTTAAATGTAAAACTCTAAACACATAAAAAGAACCCATGACTCTGGAAGGTCAACAAAAGCAAGAGAACTGTGTAAGAGTGGAGCTCACCCTCCACTGAGCTTTTATTCTCTTATGGTTTTTGACCCACTGCAACTGTGATTTGAGAAACCTACAGCTCCTTAAGAAACCTTATCTTTCTGGCCAAAGAAAGGGGAACTGGGGATTCTGAGGGCCAAAAGCTATAGAATAATGCTGGAAAGGAATATGCTGAAGACTGGAACTCCTAACTGCCCTGAGCTCACTACTGAGCTCTGCACACAGAAGAGGCTTTGAGAACTATGATGTAATCCGCTGCCCAAGCCTCACATTAACCTGAGCAGTACATGTAGGAGACAAATAAAAACAGCATCACAAAGGTCTTAAAGCTGACTGACAACATAAGGTAAGAATTTGTGACATCTGGAATTCAGTTACCTAAGACAACATCACCACTCACTCTCTAGAGACTGCCAATCAACAGGATCTGACACACTATCAGAGTGAACGCCGTGTATGTAATTCATACTTCCTTAACACATAAAGAAACAGCAAATATGACTAATTCTTACAGAAAAAGACAAGTAACAAATACCAACACCAAGATTACCAAGATGCGAATGACATTTAAAGTAGTTATTATAACTATGTTGCATCAGATAAAAGTAAAAGCATTTTTTTAAAAATTAATTTTTATTTTACATGTCTGGGTGTTTTGCACCATATATGTACTTGGGGCTTGTGGAAGCCAGAAGACATTAGATCCTTGGGTTCTCCAGAACACAAGCCACCATGTTGGTGCTAGGAATTAGACTAGACAGATACTAATGAATGAAGTTAATGGGTTCTATCTCCCAACACCATATTTTTTTTTTTTTAAATAAAAACTACTTGTTCTAGGAAAAAATATTTACATATACATTACAAAAGGCTTTTCAAGACAGGGTTTCTCTGTGTAGCCCTAGCTGTCCTAGACTAGATCTGCCTGCCCCTGCCGCTCAGGTGCTGGGACTAAAGGCATGTACCACCACGCTTGGCTCATATGAGGAATTCTTAAAAGCAGTATTAGTTAAAGGAACTAAACTCAAAAGGTTATAACTGGCTGTTCTGTGACATCCTGGGAAAAGCAAAACTACAGGACAGAAGGGTGTTTTTGAGGGTTAGGGAAGGAATAGGCACTAAAAAAAACACAGAATTGGATTCTGTTCAGGGAATGGAATCATTTCATACTTAAGAATGGCCAAACACATAACCGCACCTAAATGGATTTTATAGTAAGACAAAGAAAGTCTTTAAATGCCCAACAGTACTTAATTTAACAGGACAAAGTGTTCTTTGGGTATTTAAATAAGGGTTAAGACAGGCTCCAAGTCCCAGGTTACCTGTGCTGAGACTGCAGTCTGTCCAGGGGCTCAGCCTTGCGTTCAATCCCTTCCTGGAACACTGTGTCCGCTTTCTTGAAATTTTCTCTAGCTTCGTATTCTTCAGCCCATGAAATATAGAACTGGGCAAGGGAAACACCAATCCCTTGGCTGTGTAAATAGCTGTACATATCCAAAGGCTCATTGCACAAATGCCCCTGAAATATATTAAAAGTGGTAACAGTTAACAGATTTCCTTCACTTATCAGATGCCTGTTTCGTGCCAAACCACCACTGGGGAAAATACATGCAGTTCTTGCACTGAAGAATATGAATCTTATAATTATCCCAGAATTAAAATATACCTGGGATAAGAACCCAAGAAAGAGAAAGAATAGGAGATCAAACTGGGAGGAAAAGGGAAGGGAAGGGAAGGCTTCAAACAGGAGGTGACATTTGACTTTGCCTTGACAGAGAACTGGACCCTCATCATATGCAGAATGAGTAGAGAAGGGCATTTATTCCCTTTATGTCTGGCCTAAGTGAAGACAAGGACAAGCTTTCTCAGGGCAGGGGTAGGCGGGGAGTCTGAAGGAAAGGGCTGTTACCAGTTAAAGGGCTGTTAAAAGTCTTAAATGTCAATGAATAAAAAAAAAAAAATATCAAACTAATTGATTTTGCTTCTACTTGATAGTAAATATATTCTGGGCTGAGAGATTTAAAAGCAAAGGTAAGATCTGGTCAAGTTCGTATTTAAGGAACTTTCTAAGATCAGGAATAGTGTAGAATTTTTTTTTTTTTTTTTTTTTTTTTTTTTTGTCCTTCTCTTTTTCCCCAGACAAGATGTCCAAGATGTCACTGTGTAGCGCTGGCCATCTTGAAACTCAGTCTGTAGACCAGACTGGCCCAAATTCAGATCTTCCTGTCTCTGCCTCCAGAGTGCTGGGGTTAAAGGTCTGTGGTGCCACCACCTGGCTAGTGTTTACAATTTTAATAGCAAGAGAGGAAAAATAAAAATTCCATACTCTAAATGCTTTGACATATGTCCACATTTGTTGACTATAGGAAAATCTTATCTCACTGTAGTCTTCTTTCATATATACATAACATACATTTATTGATTTCCTAGACGTGGTCCAGGTTGACCTGGACTCATTATGTAGACTAGGAGACTTGAACCAGTGGTAGTTGTCTTGCTTCCGCCTCTCAAGTGCTAGTACTACAGAGCCACCACACCTGGCTGTTGTTATAAACAAAAATGAAAACCCCAACCATTCTACTTTACCAACAAAGACTCAGCAGCCAGATGCTGGGGTGAAAACCTGCTAGCTCGGAGAGGGAGAGAAAGCACCCAGCTGGCCTTCCTTTTCAGCTCAGGTCCGGATGGAAAAAACCTAAAGGCTCACTAGCTCAACTGACAGCCCAGGAGCAAAAGGCCAACAAAACAAAACAACAACAACAACAAAAAACCCCAAGGCCAAAGGCTTGCAAGCCCTAAACCCCAAAAGACAGGGAGCTGAGGAGCTGAAGCCTAAGCTAAAGCCAGAACTTAAACTAAAAAGCCTTTTCTTTTTCTCCACTCTGTCTTAAACACCCCTCAACTCAAAGTCCCTCCTACTCCTTAATCCCTATAAGCTGGTTTCTTGTTCTGCCTCTTGACCTAGGGGTTAACTTTTTTAAATCCGGTGTACAGAAAGCTCTTGGATTAAAGGTGTGTTCTAGGGCTGGGTGAACCACACCATAATCACCCGTTTACAAGAAACAGAAAGTTCTTGGATTAAAAGTGTGCGGCAGGGCTCAAACACACCAAAAAAGAAACAGGGTTTTTACAGCTCAGTTTTGGGGTTCACAATGGGGTCAAATATCCTGCAACACCTGGCCTCAAATTTCTCTTGAGCAACAATTCAATGTCACTTAACACAACAAGTCCATAATTAGAATAAGCAGCAAATTTGCACTCAGAACGTACAGCAAGTCTACACAGTTTGCATTACTGTGACTGATGTCACAGAGTCTACTTCAGTCACTCACTCCACTAAACTATTAGAAACTAATCCAAATCAGAGTTTAAGCACTACAGAGAACTGGGGAGTCCAGTCTTGCTGAAGGCAGACACCACTGGAAGGTTAATGGAGGAGTGTTTGAGGATCAGCCCCTAGAAAGAGAACAGGACGACAAGCGCTCCGTTTTTAATGCAAACACAAGGACCCCCATGGGGGAGACCTCCTGGGTAGGATGGGTCTACAGGGGTTTTGCCAGTTGAGACAGGGAAGCTGGGCCTTTCTCTCTCCACACAAAGCCGCCAAAGGCCTCTGGCCCCAGGAAGGGAGCCTGACCTTCGGCTGAAATCAGGGCTCTTCCCCGACGGCTGGAAACTGGGCAGCAGTACTTCCTGCAGTTAAAGGGCAGGAAGTTCTTTATGCAAAAAGGGTACATGAGCAGCTGGGCCCAGCCCCCAAAATGATCCCAGTTGAAAGTAAGGATGGATAGAGGGCTACCCAGCTGCTGCACAGGCCTGACAGTCCGAGTAGCCACACCAATTACAGCATGCATCATTTTCCATGCTTTTGGAACTATTTCCAATTAATTTTGTGTCTGCCTGTCTCCCCTCCGTCTGTGTGTGTTGTATGTGTGCGGTGTACAGGTAGGTGTACAGGTGCCTACGGGGGCCCGAGATTAAGTGCCTTCCTCCAGAGCCACCAAGCTCCAGGACTCACCGCACTAGGACTACAGGTGCTTTGCATGGGTGCTGGGCCTCACCAGGACCCAGTCCTTCCGCTTGTACAGCAAGCACTTTATCAACCAGGCCACCATTCCAGCCCTTCTAGAAGTTGAAGAGGCAAGCGTAAAATGCACGAAGGGATTTTTTAAACATTTATTTATAACTGGGAGAAATTAGAAGTTGTTTAAATACAGAAAAATTGGTTAACAGGTTAGAGAACATCAACTAGACGTATCAACACTATGCGTCCATTTAAAAATAATTGAAGCAGGCTGGGGAGATGGCTCACATAAGCAGAAATACACAGTAACACACACAGGAAGCGAGCCAGTAAACCCCTAGAGATCAAAGTAGTAAGTTTGCTAAAATGCTAAAAGTCCTAAGTTGCTTTCTAAAAGGGTTATGGAAACTTGAAATGCTAAAATTCAGTAAGTCACACTTTGCTCTCATGTTGAGCTGTTCCTACCCAGCAACACTAGTCTCTATATGAGGTCCTACACCCTCCTGTAACAATTTAACATATGCAGCCTTTTCTGAGGCTTTGCTACTTGTTGCAAGATATTTGATCCCATTGTGAACTGTAAAAACCTGTCTTTTGTTTGGTGCTTCTCAGCCCTAGTACACACCTTAAATCCAAGAACTTTCTGTTTACTGTAAACTGGTGGTTATGCTGTGGCTCAGCCCTAGCACACACCTTTAATCTAATTTCTGTACACAGGATGAAATAAGGTTAACCAACAAGAAACCAGCTGACAGGGATTTAGTAGAAAGGAGGGGCATTGAGTTGAAGGGTATTTAAGACAGTTTGGAGTAGAAGGAGCTTTGGGCTCTTTGGCTTTTTCCTCCTAGGCAGTCAGCTGAGCTAGCAGGCTTTTGACCTTGATCTCTTGGCTTTTTCCTTCTGGAATGTTGACTGAGTGGGAAGGCCAGCTGGGTGCTTTCTCTGTCTCTCTGAGCTAGCAGGTTTTCACTCCAACAGATGGGTCCTGAGTCTTTATTGGTAAAAATCGAACATTTGGGATTTTTCTTTCTGTATAACAGCCACATTTACACTCAATGGCTTCAAATATATTTACTCTAATAAGATAGTCTCCACAAAGGTAGAAAGCAATTGCTACCTACAACTATCCCTCCCTCTGACCAGCATTTTATGACTAGTCTGGAATAAATGAAATGTTCCATTTGATAAATGTGAATGGAATCAAGCATTCCACCTAAAATCTTATTTTGTTTTGGCTTTTGGAAATAGGATCTTGTCACGTAGCTCTGGCTGGCTCCAGACTCTCTGTTAGGCCAGAATAGGCCAAACTTGTGAGGACCCTACTGCTTCTCATTTTGGAGTAGTGTGAGCACAGACCTGTGCTACTCTGTCCAGCTCCCATTTATAGCTTTAACAAAAATAATCATCATTTCACAGTTCGAGTTTGGTTTGGTTTCCACCTAAATTAGGGACGTTTTCTCATGATGGTGCTTTAGGAAAACTTACTGAGTGTGGTGTCAGTTTAAAATCCATTCTGTGGTTCTGCCATCACACAAATAAAGCTTCACAATCTGTATGTCCAGCTTTCTGAGTGGCCTGTGCTCTTGTATGTGGCCAGTAAAGGTCAAATTACTCAGTGCCGGATAAGAACACTTATGATATAACATAAATAAAAAGACAATATGGCTGGATGAATAGATTCAGAAGTTAAATAAACATTTTTTGGCAACTTCTAAATGATTACGCTAATTTTATCTCCTCAACTAAAAATACTGATTTTCTAGTGATAATTTTCTTCTTAGCTAGATTATAGGGATCCTTTATAAAACAACTCTGAGCTGGGGGGGGGGGGGGGGCATGTCTTTGATCCCAGCACTTGAGAGGCAGAGGCAGAGGCAGGTGGATTTCTGTGAGTTCGAGGCCAGCCTGAACAGCCAAGGCTACACAGAGAAACCCTGTCTCCAAAAACAAAATCAAACAAATCAAAATACCAACTTTGACTAGAAAAATCTTTTCATAAAGCAAAAGACAGGGACAGGGTAAGGAATCCTTCAGTTACACCTTTGATCACCCTCACAAAGAAAGAAAAAGTAAAGCTGTTTAATATGTTCTTTGTCACTCCATGTACAGAGAGAGAGAGAGAGAGAGAGAGAGAGAGAGAGAGAGAGGATTTCTATTTCACTACAGACTGATAATTTTTCCCCATTACCTGGGTATGAACCCACCACTGAACACTAGGCAAGCACTTGACCCATAAGGGAAATTGATCCCTTCTTGCCTTCTGTATTTTGAATTAGGGTCTTACTGACTTCCAGACAGGCTTTGCCCTGTGACCCTCCTGCCTCAGCCTCACAAGGAGTTGGATCACGGGCCTGTACTAACAGGTCTGGGTTTACAGTGGTCATCAAACACAGAAGTTGGGGCTGGAGGACTGGCTCAGTAGTTAAAAGGATCTGCACTTGCAGAGAATCCAGCTTCCGTGCAAAACATCAACAGAGAGGCTCACAAACAACCGAAACTCTTGTTCCAAGGGGATCCAATGCCCTCCGAGGGCACAGAACACACATGTACACTTACACACATGCAGGAAAACACTCACATAAAGTAAAAATGAATAAAGTCTTGTAAAAAAAATAAACATAGAAGCTACTAAGAAATGATGGTGCGTTTAGGTGTTCTCCTAATCTCAACATGTTTTGTTTTTTCAAAACTTTGTAAAGATTTATTTATTATTTATACGATGTTCTGTGTGCGTGTGTGCCTGCACGCCAGAAGAGGGCACCAGATCTCATTAGAGGTGGCTGTGAGCCACCACGTGGTTGCTGGGAATTGAGCTCAGGACCTCTGAAAGAGCAGCCGGTGAGTGCTCTTAACCTCTTGAGCCATCTCTCCAGCCCCTCAAGGCTTTTGCTTGGTTAGTTTTATAAAACAGAATCTGACTATGTAGGAGACCCGTATCAAACTTGTTCCTTCTCAGCCTCAGCCTGTCAAGTATACCATTAAACACTGCTCAAATGGTTACTCAAGTTTCCAAATGTTTACTCTTAATTTTTGTACTGTCTTGAACAGTCTATGGATAACTTCTTCTATAGATGTGGATTATGCATTTTCTTTTTCTGTGCTAGAGACTGAACCCAGGTTTTCATGAAAGGTAGGCAAATGTTCTCTTATTGAACTATAACCAGCCTAAAGTAGCATGCTTTTCACCCCATAACATCATTCTTCCATTTTTCTAACATCAAGACAGCATAACTGAACAAAGACATTATTCTAATTGATTTTTAAGAAATTATTAATTTGGTGGATGTGGAGGAGGTGTGTGCACATGAGTGCAGGTGCCCTCAGATACCAGTGTTTGTATCCTCTTGAGCGGGAGCTATAGGCATTTGGGAGCTGCCTGAGGTAGTGCTGAGAACCAACCTGGGGTCCCCTGGATAAGAAGCAAGAACTCTTAATTGTTGAACCATCTTTCCAGCCCCTCTAACTGCTACTTTAAATAACTCCAATTAAATACAGTCATGAATTCCTAGGAAAAAATGTCTTGAAAAGTGTATTCAGTAGCATCTGAATGAGTCACTTATAAGACTGTTACAGAGAATGCGCAGATGGCTCAGCTGGCAGCGTGCTTACTGATGAATTTGGGTTTCCAGGACCCACATTAGAAAGCTAGTTGTGGCAGCATGCATCTGTATTCCCAGCACAGGGGAAGCAGAGGCAGGAAGATCCCTCAGTTCATTGGATAGCCAGCCTAGACAAACTGGGTTTAGTGAGAGATTCTGTCTCAAAAAATTAGAAGAAATTTAGTATTGACATCTGGCTTCCACGTGTGTGTATGTGTATGTGTATGTTGTGTGTGTATGTGTAGGTGAATGTATGTGTGTGTGTATATATATATATATATATATATATACACACACACACACACACACACACACACACATTTATTACACAGGATAGAATGAAGGACGAACTCTTGACAAGTCATCAGGATCCACAGATTCTGAGCAGCAAATATATTTAACATTTTCTGAGCAGTCCCTTGTAACTAGTATCTCGAAGATGAATTCTAATTTGTGACTAAGATGTCAAAATGTGCCAGCATCCCATAGAAATCTGACTTTCGGGAGTCACATCACTTCCTATATGTGATTTAGGTAGCATTATTATTTTAGCTTTGCTATGTAGTCCAGGATGGCTTGGAACTCACTTTATAGCCCAAGCAAGCCTAAACTCAAGATCCTCCTACTGAGGAAACAGGCATGAGCTACCACACCTGATTTATCTGAAGTTTGAATGAGTCCTCAAGAATATATTTTAGCTATAAACTGAAGTTTATAAAGTTTATAAAGAAACCAGAGTTTCTTTAAAAAAAAATTTTTTTTAAGACAAAAGCAAGAAAATTAATGTCTGAGAGACCTTGGGGTTATTTTGTGACAAATATATGCTCATGGAGAAACTCCTCAGCTATGTTGTAGATATAAAGGCACAGCATGTCAGGAGGAAGTACTAAATGTGCAGGGAGACAATTTGGCTACAGCAATATCCTGGGAGAAAGATGTCCAAAACCAATAAAACACTAAAACACACCTCTTCTGGCAGCAACTCTCATAGAACAGAGAGAGGGATGCCAGGCTCCTCAAGGCAGCTTCTCCTGTATATTCTTCCTCTAAGATGGTTACATGGTTCAACTATGTTTACAATGAATAAACAAAAAGCCTATATACACTAAAAAAAAAAAAAAATCTATAGACTTTATGATCAATCTTAAAGAATGCAAAACCTCAGAATGTTAGTCAAGTTTTTAAGTCAAAGCAGCTCAACAACTCATATACATATATGTAAATTAACTGCTAAATGGCTCCACTTTTGTACACACACACACACACACAATAGATACCTCTACAGGAAACATATCCATCTACTATTCTGAATCCAGATGACACTTACCAATTTGAGCCAGAGACTGAGAAAGCGGGGGTCACTGTAATAGCGCTTCTGTCCTTGTAGTGCCTCTATAGCTCTCTCTAGTAGCACTGACATGTTGCTCTCCTTTCCCCCCTGAGGGTAATTCTGTTCTGTCCAGTTAATATACCTGCGTGGGAGGGAAACAAAAAAACACATTTTGAATTGATGCATACTCTTGCTAAGGCTCATTTTGAATGGGGTTTTTGCTTTTGTTTTTGAGTCTTACTATGTGGCCCTGTCTAGCCTGAACTCAACCACAGGACCAGACTGAACTCAACTCAAAGAGAATCGACTGCCTTTGCCACCTGAAAGCTGGGATTAAAAGAATGTGCCATCACACCCAACCCATTCTGGATTGACTTATTTTATTACGTGCGTATGTACGTCTGTGCACTGCAATTGTGCAGGGCCACCAGAGGCCAGAAGAGGGCGTCACATCCCTTGGGCTGGAGTTACATAAGGTTGTAAGCTTCCACATGAGAGCTGGGAACCCAACCCAATCCTCTGCAAGAACAGACAGTGCTCTTAACAGATGCGCCATTATTCCAGCCCTCTGGTCTAGATTTTTAGGCAGAAATATTTAATATATTCAAAGCATGCTTCTTCAGAAGTCCTCAATGGCATACACTAAGCCTCTATCGCTCACTCTTTTGATTGTAACAAATGCTCCGGGGAAAGGGATAGAAGGACTCAGCTCAAAGTTGTGTCATACTCTGATCGATCCTCAGAGAAACTGCGGTTTAACTCAGTAGTCCAGCCCTTCCTCGGCATGTGTAAAATTCTGGGCTATACAGACAGCACTTCATGCTCTGTTCCCCATGCCATGACCCTCTTGAGACACAAAGCCAAAAAAAAAAAAAAACCCAAAACAAACAAACAAACAAACAAAAAAATCAGTGAATGCCTCGTTGTTCTTCCCATATAAAAATACTCACCTATCCCAGACATCCAGAGGGTCATTTCCAGAGTAAAAGCGAATTTCAGATTCAAATGCCCTAGAATTGAAACAGAACATATTAGCACATACAGTTCTGAGCGCAGCCAGTGACTAAGTCCTACTTCCATTCCATTCACATCTGAAGCAGTTCACACTGAGCTAAATAACTGTACTAGAGCTTGAAAAATTTATTAAAAAAAAAAAAAGATGGAGGGTTTCACTCAGTGGTACAGTACTCAACACCCTAGCAGATTCAGTGGCCAGTTTAAAAAGAAAAAAAGAGTGGGGCAGAAGGACAAAACAACAAAAAGCACACCAAATCAATTATGAGATCCTATTTAGAGTGGAGTGATGGCTCGGCAGTTACTTGTCTGTTGCTGACAAGGCAACTGACAGAAGGGTTTACTGGGGCCAACAGTCTCAGGTGATGAGAGGCTGTGACCACCGGGGCAGGGAGCATGGCAGCAGGGAGGCATGATGAGAGCACCGCTGAGAGCTTACGGTGTTGCTCCACAAGCACCAGGCAGACGGAACTCACTGGCCTGGTGTGGGCTTTTGAAACCTCAAAGCCCACCAGCACCATTCCTCCAACAGGGACACGCCTCCTAATCCTTCCCAAACTGGTCCACCAACTAGAGCCCAAGTGTGTTCTGCTTGCTCTTGCAGACTACCGAGTCTGATTCCGAGCACCCACACCAGGCGGCTCACAACTTCCCACAGCGTTATTTCATGGATGCAAGTGTTTGCCTGCACGTATGTACGCACACTGCACGCGTGTAGTGCCCAAGGAGGCTGGAAGGGAACATGAGAGAAGTACAGGTGACTGTGCGCAGCCATGAATGCTGGGAACCAAATCTGAATCCTCCACAAGAGCAGTGAGTGCTCTTAAACCACTGAGCCATCTCTCCAGTCTGACCCTTCCAAAACAAACAAACAAACAAACAAACAAGCAAACAAACAAAACAGGGCTCTTGCATCCAAGTTCGGTTCTCAGCACGCACAGAGGGTGGATCACAATCACCGGAAAGTCCAGGTGACAGGGATCTGATCTGAGGCCTTAACAGGCTCCTGTGCCCACACGAACATACCCAAATACACATATACATCAATTTTGGTGCTTTTGTTGTTATTGTTGTTTGTTTTGTTTTGGAGGCAGTTTTTCTGTCCAGGACTTTTTTGTAGACCAGGCTGGCCTTGAACTCACAGAAATCTGCCTGCTTCTGCCTCCCCAAGTGCTGAGATTAGGCATGAGCCACTGAGACTAATAATAATGTCTCTGTGTCTTTATTCATCCGTTGGCGGGTCCAAGAGAGTCCCATTATAACTCTGTAGACCACCCTGGCCTCGAATTCACAAAGATCTGCCTGTCTCTGCTCCCTGAGTACTGGGATTGCCACCACTGCCCGGCTATAGATTTATTTTTAATAATGCTCGTCTGTGTGGGTATGTGCGTATAGGTGCCCATGGCGGTCAGAAAAGGGAATGCATATCAGCTTGGTTAAAGAAGCTTATTTTTGTAGTGGGACAGTAAAGGCAGAGACTCATAACTGCTCAAAGCAGTTACTGAGAATAGTAACTGGCAGGTACATAGCTTCTGTATCACCTCCTCCAAAGCTCAGGGAGCATCACAAAAGAGTGCAGAAAGATTTTAAGAGATGGATGGAGAACAGCATCATACAATCAAGTTCCTGGACACAACACGGCTGTGGCACCAGTAGACATAAGGTTACTGTGTATTCAAATTCTTATTTCTGTACCCCAGCCCCCACATCTGGTTGCAATCCTTGTTCTGAGAATCCCCTAGCTCAGTGTTATATACACTGTACATACAGTCGTCTCCTGGTATGCCAATAAAACAACTTACAGCCAATTGCTAAACAGGAAAGAGAACAGGGCTGGACTTCCTGCCAGCCAGGGAAGGAGGGGCTAGAGGAGGAAGCAGGAGAGTTAGAACTAGCAGAGGTCCAGGAGGTATCAGGAGAGGAGCTGAAGCAGGAAAGACTGAAGTATCTTGGGAAGTCACTGGGAGGAAACAAAATCAGCTTAGAGATTTAAGAATAGTGTAATAACTGGTTAGTTTTTGTGCTGTGAAGCTTGTTAAAATAATATAACAGAGTCTCAATTACTTGTGTAATAGCCAGGTTAGAAAGAAACAGAGAAATGAACCGTTTTATAAAAACTGTAACAGCAATCACCAACTCACAGCAGCTGGCTACCTGCACAAGACCTGAATGAGAAAGGGCCCACTAGCTAGAGAGATGGCTTAGTGGATAAGGGACTCACTGCCAAGCCTGAGGACGTGAGTTGGATCCCTAGAACCACATGGTAGGAGAGAACAGACTCCTGTCCTGTCGCTTAATGTCTTTTTTTGTTTGTTTGTTTAATTATTCTTTTCTCTTGTCTACTTTGTTACCTTCTGGGTTCTTCTTTCTCTTAACAATAACTTCTCTGACTCAGCCCAGCTTTTCCTGGCTCAACTGTCACCAACTGTCTTTTCACTCTGCTGGTCCAATTCACTTTCAACTCTCTTATTTTCACTCTGCTCAATCTCTTTTCTTTTCTCTCTAGCCCTACTCTCTCTTCTTTCTCCTACACCAACTGTTTTCTCTGATCCTACTCTTTTGACAGCTGGACCCTCTGAAAGCCTTAAGTAAGTTGTGAGGGTCCAAGAAAGTGTATAAAGGCCTGAGACTATGAAAGCTTACTAAGTTCTGAAGGCATAAGAAAATGACTTAAGGTGATGAAAAATGTTTCAGATTTCTTTCGCCCTGGATGCTATTGTTACATTAAGATTTCAGAGGTTTGGAAAACCTATACTTAAGATGCTATTGTTACGTTAAGATTTCAGAGGTTTGGGAAACCTATACTTAACGCTTCAAGCAGGCCACTTGCATGGTGGGACAGCTCACCAGCAGGTTGCAAAAAGGAGATGTGTGTCCCTGTTACACTTAAATCGACTTCTAAAATACCTGCCCCTACTCTTGCTTTCTCAATGATCAAATTGGAGATTACTGTCAGTGTTGGCCAGACACACAGGCTGTCCTTGGCGGTCCTGTAGAAGACATGATGCACGTTCAGCAAGACAGTCTACCTTTTAGGCAGAACTGGGAATCTTTTACATCCTCATTAAAGACCCATGGCACCCCAGATGGGAGACAGGGGTCATTAGTAAACTTTACTGTAGCATTCACCACAGCCACCCACCAGGCACAACAAAAATAAAGAGAATACACACCCCACTCCCTCAACCCTTGGGTATAGAAGTGGTCCAAGGTTCCTCAAAGGCCCTCACATCTGTTTCTTATAATACTGATCCCACTTCCCTGTCATACCATCTCCTGTTTCAGACCTTAACCTGTGCACATCAATTATTAAATAATTTTCTGCCTAACTGCTTTGGGGAATGCTGGTTGTGTCCCTCCTGGGTTAAACTCACAATCACCATTCACAGCTTCACGGCCTCACCCACTGTCTTACTAGGTTCTTTCACTTAACCACTTGTTAGTTGCCCAAAGCCAAATATCTCTACCAACCCTTATCTCTCCCCAGTCTCTCTCTTTGGTATCACAAACTGCTTTAATTCCCCAGGAACACACTTCGTGTGCACAATGAGGTCCAGACACTGTAATAAAACCCTAACCATTAGTACTGCCACCTTGCCCCTATATCCAAACAGTCACAGTGCCTCAATTATCTGCAGCACTCATGTATACCATTGCCTACCAGCTGCATAGTCTGGGATGTGTGCCCTTGTGTTTCTTTTTCCAAAACTAGGAGTGGTACCTGGTGAAGAGCCCTTGCCAGTCCCGTCACTGGGTTTATAGTGACATGGCATAATATACAGCAATTAAGTTCATACTCTTTCTAACAGTTCTGGGCATAAGTACTGGTGTCACTACAAAAACCCACCAATCCCTGAGCAGGAAAGCTCACCAATCCCTAAACTCCCCAAGCTTAGACTTAAAATCCCGCCCACCCATGCCCAGTTCCCTGCTGCCTTTTCCTGGGAGCAAAGGCAGCCACTCCTGAATTTGTACCTCCTCTTCTGGATTCATCCCTCCAATAAATCTCTTTTAAGAGATTTGCTGTCTGGTGTGACGCTCTCATCAGAAGCGGCAAAGAAGAAAAGCAATGAAGAGAAGTAGAGTGGGGCTGAGGTACCTAACCTCCTGAGCTCGGCTGGAGGCTGCAACACCTCTGCTGAGGGGGCCTCCTCTCAGAGTTGTGTGGTCCCTGGGCTCCCAGGTCCTAGGATTCCTTTCCTCAGAGCTGTAACACTTTCACTGAGCATACCTTCTCCCTCAGCACTGTGTGAGGCCTGGGCTTCTGAGTCCCAGGATACCCTTCCATCGGAGCAGGAAGGCCAATACCCTCCTGTCTACTTCTCAATCCTACTCTCCTAGCTCTCAGCCTCTGATGGCTTTTTATATCCTCTCTGGTTCCTAGAAGTCCAAGAAGCAATTGACACTGAAGGGCATAGGGTCCTTTAGAGGCCATGCACACAAAATGAATCACCCTACAGATTCCTACCAGCTGTCCCCTGACCTCTACACATACAATAAGTATATAAATAAATGCAACGTAGGATCAAAATGAGGTCAGTAACATTCAGCCATGGATGGGGAAGGTGCCAGGAGACCCCGCCCTTCCTTGAGGGGTTCCTAGCAGTTAATGGCTCCTGGAGGGTGGAGTCATTTTTTTCAGGGTATGGTCACTATTAGTTACCCGTGATCCAGATCCCATGATTCACACAAGCAACCCAAATTCAACCTGAATTCAGTGGGTCAAACATATGCACCAAAAAAAAAAAACAAAAAACCTACAACACAAGACAAAAAGAGACATGAAAATAGGAATGGTTTTTGTTGGGAATAAAAAGAGGAATTCAGCAGGAGGCAGAAGAGGGATAAGAGGGTAAAGGGGGAGGATGTGAAAGTTACCAAAATAATTATATACACATATGAAAGTGCCAGGGCTACACAGAGAAACACACACTGTCTTGAAAATTCAAAAACCCAAAACCCTTTAAAATTTAACAACAAAATAGCCAGACAAAGTGGCACATGTCTGTAATTGTTGCACAATGGGGACTGAGACTGAACTGCTGCAAGTTCAAGGCCAGTCTGGGCTACCATAGTGAGTTCAAGGGCAGTCTAGGATATTTGGGGAAGTCCCGTCAAACACACACACACACAGTAGATAAACAAAACAGATTCTGACACAAAAGAATTATACTCCTAATAAAAAAGGCAAAGTACACAAGTGAAAACAAAACAAAACAATCAACAATACAAAGCAGGCATGGTACTTGCCAAGAAGAGACAGCGAAGGTATAAGAGGTGAAAATGAGATAGGAACTGGGGAGCAACAATAATATATTAATGAAAAAAGGAAGTTTTTTAGTAGATCATCTGCCCTTAAGGTCCTGGGTTTAAGCTACCCTCTGACCCAGCAATCCCATTCCAAGGGTGGTGGTAGGGATTATGTCCACAAAAAGCCTTGTCAAATATCCACACTGGCTTGATTTACAAAGCACAAAACAACGAACCAACACGTCCAATAACTGGTGAATGGTAAACAGAGTACTTATTCAGCTGTAAAAAGGGACCAACTGCTTTTCATGTAACATGAAAAGTACTCAAAATTCCGCTGAATGAAGGATCCATATGATTCTATGTATATAAAATTCTACGACAAGCTGGGCATGGTGACACACACCTGCAATCCATCATCTGGGAGGTAGAGCCCAAGTCGAGAGCAGCCTAGGCTATAGGTTAAGACAATCTGTACAAACAAACAGCCAAACTCCAAAGTGACTTAATTTGACAGAAATCTAATTAGCAGGTGCTTCACGGAGAGGGGAGAAGGACTGAGGAGGAGAAGGGAGAGCCTCCTACGGTAAGGAGTCAGGACGAGATGCACGGCTTTAACAGCACACATAAAAATCCGAGCACTCGCTGTATCTAAATTATACTCAAAAGAAATTCCCAGCGTTGCGGCAATGGCTCAGTGATAAATGTGTGCTTAGTATTCCGGAGGCCCTAGGGCCAGTGCCAGAAAGGATGAGAGGGCTGGAGAGATGACTCACGGGTTCAGAGGACATACTGTTCTTGAAGAGGGCACCCATGCTAGGCAGATCACATCAGCCTGTAGCTCCAGCTCTGGGAGGCTCAAACCCCTTTCTGACCAACTTGGGAACTTGTACTCACACTTACATACACATACTCACACACATACACATAACTGAAAGTAAATACCTTATTTTACAAGAAAGTGAGAGAGCAATGAATAGGAGTCATTCAGGTGAGTTTTTGTAGCATTAACCAAACTGGAGAAGTAGAAAAAGAAAGGTCATTTGGGAGGGAAGAGATTTCTGACAGTAGAATGACATCCAGATAAGCCTGTCACAGATGAAAACAGCCTATGTGAAAAAAAAAAAAAAAGCACTAACATCTATCCTGCCGGGCACGGCAGCTTAGCAACACAGCGTACTGCACGCTGCTCGGCCTCAGCTTCAGCATCACTAGGGACAGCAGCTCTCTCCTCCTGCATAGCCCTCATCCTTGAAAAGAGCAACTTTCAAGGTGTGATTTCTATCAAACGAATATCGTTTCCTCACTCAGAGCCATAAAAACATGAGTCTTCTCAAGCCTGGGACTGTCTACGCGTTACAGTAACGGACACTCAGAAGGAAAGAGCTGTCAATGGTAGCTGTAAAAGCGCAGCTGAGAGCTGAGACTGGGATGGAACACAGCAGGGAGCCAACACCAAGGACAACTCAACACAAGCAGGGAAACCAGTACAGGATCAAGCTGCAGGCACCAGGAACAGGCATTAAGAATAAAATGCCATCTAGCACAGTGGCACATGCTGTAATCCCAGAATTTGGGAAGCAAAGGCGGGCAGATCTCTGTGAGTTCGAGGCCAGCGTAGGACCACATAATGAGTTCTAGGCCACCCACAGCGATGGAGAGACACTGTCTCAAAACACAAAAACAAGAACTGAATACTAAAGCAAAATCATAAAAAAACAGTTTTCAAAGATCTCGTGTTGTGTGTTGGTCTGATACTGCTGTGTATTCAAATACTAACTACTGGCCCCCCAAATCTGGTTGCAGTCCAGATGAGTACATTCTCACACCAAGTGATGTGTAAACTTTGCTCCCTGATCTTTGATTAGTTAATAAAGTTGCTGACAGCCAGTTACTGGGCAGACTAGAGGCAGAAGGAGCTTCAGTTCCAGGCCTTGGGGGTTTCAGGTAGGGACCACAAGGCCAGGAGAAGCTGGAGGAGGAAGGAGAAAAAGATGGAGACAGATCCAGCCTAAACAGGATGAGTTATTGGCAAATAACTTGGGGAATGCAGCTGGGAGGTAGCCAGACTAGCTTAAAAAAATGTAAATCATACCTGCCCAGTTATTGTGCTTCAGCCTTGTTTAAATAAACTACTAGGTCTCTGTCTCAATTTCTCAGGGGCTAGCCGGGCCATAGAAAAGCCCTCTAGAATTTAATAAACATTCTACAGCAATCTAATTCAATGAGTATGGTTACGTTTTACATTTCAGCCCAAAATGAACAATAAACACTATCTCATGCAATTAAAAAGCATGCAAGTCAGAAAACTGGGAGAACAGATTCCCACACTACCACGGAAGAGCATTCCTTAGGACAGCGGTTCTCAACCTGTGAGCGGCAATCCCTTTGGGGGTTGCAGGATCCTTTCATGGGGGTGCCAGGGAAAGAGGGGGAGGGGAAAGGTGCCTATGAGATATCCCCGCCTCAGATTCACAACAGTCACGAAATTACAGAAGTAGCAACAAAGTAACAGTTGGGGTTACCATAACAGTAGGAGCTGCGTTAAAGGGTAGCAGCAGCAGGAAGGTTGAGAATCAGAGCCTTAGGCCCTTCTGCAGCTTCGCACCCACGATCCCTACCACAGCTGGGGCTAACAAACTGAACCCAAACCATTCTATTACATACCGTTTCTGTTGCTGCAGAGCAGTGTTACAGGCCGATTCCTGCTGTGCCAAAGCCCCCTGAAGTGTGGACATGATCCGTCCATGCCGTAAGGGCTGTACGTTTTCTTTACTCAGCTCCCACTCATCTCCCTCTTGGGACAGGGCTTCACTGTGAAGAAGGAAACGGAAACATCCCTTACACCACTGTTACTGCACTATACTGTGACCATTTTCAGATGGGTGATTTTTTGTGGTCTTTGGGTTACCCTGATAGCATATCTCTCTCTCTCTCTCTCTCAGTTCTTGGAGATAGGGTTTCTCTGTGCAATAGCCCTAGCTGTCCTGGAACTCACTCTGTAGGCCAGTGCTGGAATTAAAGGCTTCGGCCCATTATTATTCTCTTAAGCTTCTGAGCCTATCACTTGCTTTCCAAGTTTATTATGATCAACAGAAGAGAGAAGAATTTGGCAAGGGTGTTGTTGACAGTATTAAACGAATAAAGTAAAAGGCAGGAAAAATAATTTTTAAAAGCATCATAAATTTAGCAAAGTAGATTAAACAAACAAACAAACAAACAAACAAAAAAACCCAAAAACCTAGCAGTTTTGTGTCCAACACAGGACAATCTGGCTTAATTCAAAATTAGTGTCAGTCAGACTATTATGTCATGCTCCAAGTTTCAATTTAAAACAGACAAATAGAAGCCAGGCATGGCAGTACATGCCTTTAGTCCCAGCGCTAAAAAAAAAAGACAAAAGACAAAAGGAAAACAAAACATACCAGAAATCTACCCTTCCTCTTGCCTAGGTTAAATCATTATATAAGTTACTCTGCTTGCACACTCACCTCGACATTTTGGTTGTGAGCCTAGCCTTTCATGGCTGAGCCACCTCTCCAGCCCCATCAGCCCCACCCTTGCCTCTGTCCCTTCTACTCTTTGGGTTCATGGTGCTCTAATGACAATGACCATGCCAGCAGCAGCTTCCACTCCTAAGTTTCTGTGAGATGTACGCTCTTTTTTTTTTAAAGTGTGTGGAAACCAGAGGACAACTTTTGAGAGTTGGTTCTCTCCTTCACCATGTGGGGGTCCTAGAGACCAAACGGAGGCCCTCAGTTCTGCTAACAATCATCCCACCTGCCCGTGACTAGTTACTTCTAGTTTTGACCCAAATACCATCAGTGAGGACTCTGTTCAAATCTTTCTTCCAGGTCAGTGTTAGGTAAAGAATGCAAGGCCCTGCAGTGCAAGTTTCTTGGACAAGTGCCCTACCTGAGTTACACCCTCAGCTCCTAATCTTTCTGAAACTTGCACAAATTCCACCTCCAATGCTTCCTGTCATCTCTTGCTTTATACTTTAGTACTGATTACTATCTGATTTCAAATGTGTCTTATTGTTTCTCCACCTTCATTCCTCCAACTTAAGCTTCACAAGGGTTGGAATTTTGTATCTTTCATTGTCCACTTCAGTGTTCAAACGGTGGTCAATAAATTCTGTGGCATGAATAAAAGCTAACGACATGACAATGACCCAGATATTATGGATTCCACAATTAAATGCATACTAAATTCGAAACTTGAAAAAACTGCTCTCTTTTCTTATAGATGAGGAAAAGGAGCAAATGTTCTGCCTTTTAGACCCCTGTGCTACCAGCCAAATGAGAACACCTATTAGCTGTAAGCAGTTAACTTACTAATAAGTCGAATTCTCCCCATAACTCCAGAAAACAGTATTAATATATACATGACGCCCATAAAAGACATTTCAAGGTCAAAGAAAAAACGACTGAGGTGAGTTGCAAACCCAGATCACAAGGCAAATTCCAAACACTCCCAGTTTGGTCCCACGGCTCCAGGTCGTCAGGAAGGGAGCTTGGGAGAGCCTGCTCACCTCGCGATCCTCCCCTCACCGCCAAGCACCCAGCTGCAGCACCTTGACTCCGGTCCTCACCTCGCCACAAGCCCTTCCTTCCTCGCCGCCGCCATCCTGCATTCCCGGCGCTTGCTCTGGCCCGTCCGCAGACCTTTTTCCTCGGGGTGCAGGCTTTCTGGGCTTCCCTCCTCACCCTTCAGCTAGCTTTGAACCCCGTGCTCCCGACTCCTTCTCAAAGCCGCCACCTCACGCTCCATTACGCCCAAGCCGCCAAATTTCAAATTTAACGGCCCTTGACGCCGACGTAGCCCCGCTCCTCTCTCTCAAAGCATTCTGGGGATTGTAGTTCGTCCTGGGTTTAAGCTCGAGCTGCGCGGTGCAGACTGAGAGTTGTAGTTCCGGGATTGAGGCGCCGCAGCAGGCACAGGCACTGAGAATTCTCTGCCGGTTCGCTCTGTGTTTCTGCTCTGAGGCAAGTCTTCGAACCCAGGGAGGGACACCTTAATAACAAGGGTTCTTTGATGTTTTGAGTGTCGTGACATGTCGTTGAGTGCATGTGCCTGACCTTGCTTTTCTGGGTTGCTCAGAACTGGCAGCTGTGCTCCCCTCGATCTTGGCCGCCTGCATCCTAGGTCTCACACCTGTCCAGAGATCGTCAGGCCGCTCTCACCCAGCTGGTTCCTGTCGAAACCTTGAATTTAAAAAGTTTAGATTGTAGTTCTCACTTTATTTTTTACACAAGTACTGGTTTAGCCTCTCCCAGGCAGCCCTTTCACCCCTAAAACTTCCCAACTTTGACCAACTTCCTTTAAAATATCATGGAGGTGTACCGTTTGTGCTTTCATACAGCCTAGCCAGATGTCCTGTAAAGTCCGAGGTAAGGTCAGGCTTGGTGGTACAGGCCTTATCTCAGCTACTCTGGAGACTGAGATATGAGGATCAGGAGTTCAAGACCATCCCGGACAACTTAGTGAGAACTTATATCACAATAAAAAAAAAAAAAAAAAAAAAAAAAATTGGGTTTGGTTTGGTTTTTGTCAAGACAAAGTTTCTCTATGTAGCTCTGGCTGTCCTGGAACTCACTGTGTAGACCAGGCTGGCCTCAAACTCAGAGATTTGCCTACCTCTGCCTCCGGAGTGCTGGGATTAAAGGTGTACATCACCACCAGCCAGTTTAAAAAAACAATAAGGTGGGAAGATGGGGTGGGAGGGACTATATCTCAGTGGTGAGCACTTGCCTAGCATTGGCATCAGGGCCTGTGTAATCCCTAGAACCACACAGGCACAGAGAAGAAAAAAGGGAGGGAGGGGAGGAGAGAGTGAGAACAAGAATGAGAGTGATAATTCCTTGGGACATGAATTCTGGACCATAATATCTGGATCCCATCTGTGGTGGTCTGAACGGAAATGCTCCCCGGAGGCTCATATCTTTGAACACTTGATCCCCAGTTGGTGGAAGTATCTGGGAAGGATTAGGAGGTGTGTCACTTAGGGGTGGGCTTTAGGGTTTCAAAACCCCATACCATTCCCGGTTAGCTCCCTCCCTCTTTCTCCGCCTCATTTTTGCTTGTGGATCAAGACGTAAGTAAGCTCTCAGCCAGTGCTCCAGCGCCATGCTCACTGATGTGCTCCCTGCCCCAAAGGTCACGGACTCTAAACCTCTGAAATCATAATCCGCAAATAAACTCTCTTATAAGTTGTCTTGGCCGTGGTGTCTTATCTTAACTAGGGAAGGACCCAAGCAGTATTGTGCCCACTGACTAGGAGACAAGACTCCTGTGTGGTACTGTGCACAAAGTTAGGCTGTACACGTTGTTAGTAGAAAGAGGACAGATAAGACAGAGACTCCGAGATAAGGAGAGCCTCAGGGCGCTGAGCAACAGTTGGGACAGAAAAGATGAGATCGGTGAAGCAGACAGAGTTTGTGCCCTCTAAGAACTTTTAGCTGGTGGAGGGGACAAATAAGTGATTTCAGTGCATCCATACCCAAACTGGAAGCAGATATATTGGAGGGCGGGGGAGGGTCATATGAGCATATAGAAGGAGCTTCCAACTAGGCTCTGGAGTAGGAAGGGAAGCCATGGGATTTCTCTACAGAAGACAGTGAAGCTTAGAGGGAAGGATGAGTCGGCACAACCTATCCACAGAAACAAGCCAAGCTCTGGAGGAACTGAAGTGCATCTGTGGCAGATTTCCACCTCTCGTGCAGTGAGTTTCCTCACTTAGGTCTCACCTCTTGGGCCTTCATGCTACCCTGTCAAAACGTTCCTGACTCATGTTCCATGTTATAACCTAACCATCACGTGGAAAACATAAGAATTAACTGGTGACAAGATGTTCCTGGGAGTTAACGTGTTTTAAAAACACCAGTTAAGTGTGATAGGGGGCTAGAGATTTGGTGTGCAGTTGTTTCTGAAATGCTGGGTTATGTGAACAGCCCCCCTGAGGCCTTACCCTGTCAAACTGCGCCAGGAATCTGAGGGCCCCAGTACTCCTGTTTCTCATGTAGCTAACACTCCAGCTCAAAAGCTTAAAGCGACACAAACTCATTACGTTCTGGTCTCATGGATGAGATGTTTGACCCAGGTTCTCTGGGCTGAATGGGGCATTGGCAGTTCTGTCTTGTTCTCTGGAATTGCTGTCGGAGAATGTGCTTGTCTTTTGCCAGTCTTCTGGAGGCATCACTTGCACCCCTGGTTCATGCTTCCTTCCTTTCCTCCTCAGAGGCAGGGATATAACATCTCCCCAGCCAGGCATCCATCATTACAAGCCTTTCTCTGATCATAGCCAGGAAATTATCTCTGTTTTTAAAGGCTCATGAGATCAGGTGGAACTCAGCAAAACTTTTGCAGCCCCCAATCATGAACCATAATCACATTTGCCGGGTCCCTTTGGCAATATAAGGCGACGTGGTCACAGGAACCATTTGGCTGGCCATTATTTAGCTACCTCAGATTGAAAAAATACATCGGTGTCTCTGAAATTATTTAATCATAAAAAAAAATTTCCATGCTTTTTCTTCAGGATGGATTTGGGAATATATTACTTAATATATTGCCCTCCCTCCGGTGCTTTTTATATTTTAACAGGGAGTGTTGATAGAAGAAAATTCACAAAGGAATAACTTTTACTCATGGGTCCAGGCATAATGGTATTCACCTTTAGTCTTAGCACCTGCGGTGCTGACACTGGTAGAGCTTTGTGAATTCAAGACCAGGCTGGTCTGCACAGAGAGTTCCAGGCTGCATAGTGAAACCCTGTCTCAAAAAACAATTTTTTTTTTTAACTGGTGGAATTTCAGGCATAATGGCGACTTTTGTCAGTCTGGGACTGTTCTTGCAAACTCCTTGATTTCTTGCGTTTAATTCTCCTCAAAGTGGTAGCTTGCTGCATGAGTGGCTCTGAGATGGATTTACTGGTTATATTTGGTCTCTCGTTCAGTGTCGTGAGGGCATGTGTGTTCCCGACTCTGCCATGGCAGATTGCCCAGTTCTGCCTTGCTTTCATGGGTTGTACAAGATATGGCTTTCGCATGGGAGATAATCCAAAGATAGGAACCTCGGGGTCTCCAGGGCATCCCTGGATTGGCTGTAAACAGTCACAGGAGGAGAGACTCTTTTGCGGGTAGGAGTAAGGTCAAGGGTAACAGAGTTAGGGTAAAGCAACAGTGTGCAACATCAGAGGGTTTTACATCTGAGAAGGCAATGTCCCTCTGGGGCCTCTACCCTGACAACAGATCGGCCAATCAGAGTAGCAGGGACTTGTTGAATTTACCAATAATTAGGTGTCTTGAGGTGGGAGAACCAATGACACAGAGGTGTAGCGAGCCAACCAACTTGTTGCCAAGAAGAGGGGAGGTGGAGGGTGGAAAAGCTGCTGGCTGCTGCCCAGTTGTGTCTCAGTAGTGGCTGTTGCTGACTGGGTACCACGGAACCCTCCAAAAAATCTGGGGTTTTTCTCTTGAGTTCAGTGGAAACTCCTTTCTGGGCTATACTTCTGCTTTTCTGCAGAAGTATATCCTACTTTCACGATCATCTCAAAAAAACGTTGGACATCGCTTAACCCCAAATTTCCACTGATATATGCAATAAATGCCTCTGCAGAATGGGGAGGTCCCAGTCATCAATCTTCAGGCGTCTGGCAGAAAAGGACCAAAAAGGTCAGAGCAGACCATAGGCTGAGAACAAGCGAAGCTACAGGGCGGGCTTGTAAACAGTCAAGGATGGCTTTAATCTGAACACGTGGGAAGTGGAGGCAGGAGGACCAGGTGTTCAAGGTCAGATACATAGAGACTTCTGGGCTAGCCTGGGCTACAGGGGACCCTTTACGGGACAAACAAAGCAGCCCCTCTCCACCAAAATGGAAAAAGAAACAGGACAAGCCGTGGAGTTAAATAAGTCTGGGAGGTGGCAGGAAGTACAAAATCGAGGTTGCTTCACCCTCACATCGGCCTGGCTTGCTACACACTGTACGAAGCTTGCTTCTGACATTCTAAGGGGCCATCGGGGTAGGGTAGCGGACCATGTTCCTTTCAGTCTGGGCTCCCATTGCTTTTCTGGGGAAAGGGCAGAGGTCAGAGGTCTCAATACCATTGGAAACAACACAGTTCGGCTGAATGTAGGAGTTAAACTGATTCAGAGAAGGGTTAAGTGAGGGGATAAGCTAATCTGGCCCTTGTCCCCACCTATACCCCAAAGTCTCTGTCTCTGTCTCCCTCTTTTTCCTCTCTCTCTCTTTCTCTGTCTGTCTCTCTGTCTCTCTCTCACACACACATTGATTGGAGGGTAGGCCAGAGCTAGAATTGGTCAACATTGAACTTCTGTTGAAATAACCTTGAGAGATTGAGGACCATTGGAGATGATGACTCCAGAGTGCTGTAAGGGATGTTCAGGAGACCCTGGCCCACCATAACTTCAACCATCCACAGATGATGACCTAGTCTCAAGAGCCAGTGCAGAACCATAGCAGTCAATCTTCTCCATGGGGTCTTCAGCATATGTTGCTTCTGGGACATTTTATTGCCTTCCTTTCAGCACATTCTCCAAGCCAAAGCAGAGAGAAAAGAATCCAGAGGCAGGTGCATTATAAAACTATCTTCTCCTAATATCAAAAGACACAGGGAGGGCCACACACCTCCTTGAAACAAGCTGGGCCTGTTTCTGGTTTTCTATCCAGGCTTTGGCTTTGATCATGTATCAGTTGCTTTTCTGCAGCTGTAATAAGACACCCTGACCACAGGCAACTTATAGG